CCCATACAATCAGAAGACATCTGAGTCTGCCTGTCTGTCTGTCTCTAAACAGAGAGGGAAGGGACTTCCCTGGTGGTCCAGTGGTTAAGTCTCCACGCTCCCAATGTGGGGGGCCTGGGTTCATTCCCTGGTCAGGGGACCAGATCCCGCATGCTGCAACAAAAAGTCCCATGTGCCACAACTAAGACCCGATACAGTCAAATAAATAAATATTAAAAAAAATAAAACAACCAACAGAGTTGGGGGAACTCCTCAGGGTGGGCACCCTGCTTGACCCATCACCCCAGAGCCTGACATAGAGAAAGAGACAGTGAGTATTTGGTAAATGAGTGAATGAAGGTAGAACTAATCCCAAAGAAGGTGATTTCCTAAGACCTTTCTCCAACAGGTGCGACCAGTTCCCCTTTCAGCAGCCTCCTGGACAGGGAACCTAGTGTGAGGAGTAGCGGGTACAAAGCCCAATGTTTGTTGGCTTTTTAAAAATTATTTATTTTTGGCTGCATCGGGTCTTCGTTGCTGCACACAGGCTTTCTCTAGTTGTGGTGAGCGGGGGCTACTCTTCGCTGCGGTGCACGGGTTTCTCATTGGGTGACTTCTCTTGTTGCAGAGCATGGGCTCCAGGCGCGTGGGCTTCAGTAGTTGTGGCCCGTGGGCTCAGTAGTTGTGGCTTACGGGCTCTAGAGCACAGGCTCAGTTGCTTAGTGACCACAGGCGCATGGGCTTAGTTGCTCCGCGGCATGTGGGATCTTCCCAGACCAAGGCTCGAACCTGTGTTCCCTGCACTGGCAGGCAGATTCTTAACCACTTCACCACCAGGGAAGTCCCCAAAGCTCAGTGTTTTCTGAAGCCTGGGGAGGCAGACCAGATGGACACGGGGCTTGAGGTGTGGTCTGGGGGGGCAGAGCTGCTGCAGGGCCGCTAGGGGGTTGCCAGTCTCACGGAGGTCAGTCCTTGGCTCCCCCCTTGCCGGCAGCCGTGGCTGTACTGTGCGGTGCGGGAAGTCCTGGCTGAGGGTGAAGATGCACAGGGACTTGTCTGGGACTGGCCCCCTGGTCCAGCCCGAGGAACTGGTCCTGGACCATGGGCCTGCACCCCCAGCCCCTCAGACCCCCTCAAGGAGACACTCAACTCCACTGTGGGGTTGCACGAGTGTGGCAGGCAAGAGAGAAAGGTGAGGGCCTGGGCATTAGAAGCCAAAAATTCACATCCTGGCCAGAGGCTGGACCAGACTCCCATGATGATCTGTGGGGCAAAAGGACAGGGTCTTCAACTAGCCCAGGGTCCCAGGGCTCTGGTCAGGGCTCTCCCCTTATGGGCTCAGTAACTTGGGCTGACCCTCCCAGCGCTGACCTGGGGCTTTCCTGGCCTGGGCTCCCCTGCTTGCCTCCACCTCCTTACAAAGCCTTCCTCTCTCCACCTGTGAGGTGTGTGGGGCTGGGACGAGCAGGCGCTCGCCTGTGGACCTCTGACTCCTCTGCACCACGTGGGCCTGGAGAGCCTGGTCTACGTACAGTGCTCCAGCACATTCCACTAGCCACCGACCACCTTTTAATTCTTTGTTACTGGGGACAGTCCTACACCTTGTAGGATGTTTAGCAGTATCCCTGGCTTCTGCCCTCTGCACGTCAGCAACACTCCCTAGTTGTGACAACTAAGAGAATCTCCAGACATTGCCAAATATCCCCCCGGAATACAAAATCACCCCCAGTTGAGAACCCCTGGCCTTAACAACTCTAGGACAATGCTGGGTCACAATGAGAGTGCGTTACTCATTCTGACTTTAACAGGAATACGTCTACTGTTAAAATATACACTAGTGGGACTTCCCTGGTGGTCCAGTGGCTAAGACTTCCTAATGCAGGGGGCCCTGGTTCGGTCCCCGGTCAGGGAACTAGATCCCATATGCTGCAACTAAAGACCCCGCACGTGGCAAGGAAGATCCCATTGTGCCACAACTAAGACCTTGCGCAGCTAAATAAATAAAATATTTAAAAATATCTATATACACTAGTATCTGTATACTCCTGTCCAGGGCTAGTACACAAGTATACTCTATCAAAGTTTAATTTGAAAAAATGAAAAACGTGACTTTCATACAAGTGAAGGAATGCATGTCAAATATTTTATTCAATTAATGAGGGAACAGTAAGATGGTAAAGCTAACTCGAAGAACATTCTGAGAAGTATTTCTAGCGCACTGGCAAAGGCATTTTGAAGTGTGTGCTAAGTTAGAGACAAAACCTGCTAATTTCCCATGGGGCAATAAAACTGTAATCTTTGGGGTTAACTTTTCTATTGGACAGAAATCTGTCAGTTAACATAATTTCTCAGGTACATTTTCCTACATGAGCGGTTTTCAAAGTGTAGTCCCCAAAGTGGAAATCTCAGCACACCTGGGAACTTGTTGGAAATGCAGGTTTTCAAGTCCCACCCGAGACCTATTTAATTAAAAACTCTGGGGGTTGGGCCCAGCAGATGATCCTGATACACTGTGAAGTCTGAGAACCACTGCCCTAAATAGGCAAATCATCTTTATTTGTGAAACAAATCTGTGCGGCAATGCTCCAGTATGACATTAAAAGGACATGCCACCCACCTTTTCGCCTTATTTCCAAATTTAAATAATTTGTCTTTTTGATGTTTGCTGTTTTGTTTTTCAAATACTCTATCAACTTAAGGCAGTTTTCATCTATTACTAAGTTTTTTTCTTTTTAATAAAAAAAATGGTCTCCCAAATTTATCAGTTCTTTTCTTTAACCTACTGAGATGATGAAATACAAATGGAACTATTCTTATACTCTTAAAATTTTTTATTGATATGGTGTATTGTAACACACTCTTGACTTCAACATGATGATGTTTATGATTTTTAGAAAGCTCTTTACAAGTGAGATCAATTTTAGCAGGAATTAGCTTTCCATCTCTTTCTATTTAGGGAGCAGTTTAATTGCCATAGGCTCTATCTGTACTTTGAAAGCCTGCAACAATAAAACAAGCGGGGCCTACTGTATGGGTGAGGGGCATGGAATTGAAGACAGATCTCAAACAGTTCAATTTCTTCTTTGGTTATTAGTCTATTCTCTAGTGTATTTTTGTTGTTGCTATTTTGGGTTTTTTTGTTTTTCCCTCTTCAAGTGAACATGGGAAACTTAGTTTTCCTAGACTAGCCATTAGCTCAAACTCACAAGTAAGCAGACTAATGCAATTTAAAGCAACCTATGTTTCTCCCATTAAGATAAACATCTGATGTTGGTGAAGCTGAAAAACAGTTTTCCTGAGGGTGTCAACTGTTACAGGCCTTTTTGCTAGGCACCTTAAGGGATTCATCAAAATGAAATAAAATACCTAGGCACTTGAAGGAGATATCTGGGGTACTGGTAATGTTTCCTTATTTGGGTGCTGGTTACATGGGGTGTATGGTTTATGAAAATTCATTAAGAGGCTTCCTTGGTGGTGCAGTGGTTAAGAATCCGCCTGCCAATGCAGGGGACACGGGTTCCATCCCTGGTCCGGGAAGATCCCACATGCCGCGGAGCAGCTCTGCCCGTGCACCACACTACTGAGCCTGCGCTCTAGAGCCCGCAAGCCACAACTACTGAGCCCACGAGGCACAACTACTGAAGCCCGCGTGCCTAGAGCCTGTGCTCTGGAGCAAGAGAAGCCACTGCAATGAGAAGCCCGCGCACCACAACAAAGAGTAGACCCTACTCGCCGCAACTAGAGAAAGCCCGCGCACAGCAACGGAAGACCCAACGCAGCCAATAAATAAATTAATTTAAAAAAGAAAATTCATTAAGCTCTGTGTTTACACTACGTACAATTTCCTGTATGTGCATTCTATTCCAATAAATTTTTAAAATTCGTCTTTTGCCACAGCCCACAGCTGTATGTAATGGCATTGCTTACTGACGCAAAACACGGAGAGAACCTGAATACCCCGGCAGAACGGAAGGCTCCCGCTCCCTTAAGGCGAACAAATTAAACGGTTTCTACTACCTCTTCCTACTGCTTTGGTTCATGTTCTCAGTTAACCTGGGGGTTGGCGCTGGCCCTTTCCACGGAAAGGTTCTGGGGACTGAGAAAGGGACCCGGCATTCCGCCCCAACAGCTCGGAACTGGCCGACTTGCTCCCGCCCCGATCCGAGGAGGCCTCCGCCCCCACGCCCCAGCGTCACGTGACCGCCACATCACCTGACCCGGCGCGAGCGGAAGGTGGAAGTCTTGGGCGCGGGCTTCCTGGCGCGATGGTGAGGGATGAGGGGTGATGCGAGGCAGTGGGTGCTGGGGGCGGGCAGAGTACGAGACCCCCAAATCTCACCGCCGCGGCTGCGGGAAGGGTGGGGCGCCGGGTGCGAGGAGATGGGAAGTCTGCCGGGCCCCTCAGCAGACACTTGGGTGCAGTCGTGAGGGCCGAGGCTCTGGTAGAAAAAAGCCTCCCTTCACCCTCCTCCCTGCAGGATGGGTAGGGCAGGGCGGGCCGGCAGGCTAGGAGTGCCTTGATGGGAAGGAAGGGCCCGCGCACCCCCGGGACACGAGCTGGGGCTTGTCCCTCCAGGCCTTCCTCTGCCCCAAGAGGCCCTCCCAAAGGTGCCCACTTCCCAGCGCTCCTGTGGGACCTGGAGAAAAACTTGCTTACAGTTAAGCTCAGTCTTCTGCACTGTTAGGAAGGCCCTTCGCTCTTCCCAGAGCCAGAAAGGAGTAGATTTGGGGTTGGGATTTCCCAATTCATACATCCATTCATTCCTTCAACAGGCTGTGAGTGCCTGCTGTATACCATGCACTGTGCCAGGCACTGAGACTTTGGCTACAGGAGGGAAGGGCCAAGCTGGAAGTTTGAATGGGCATAGTTAAGACTTGAGGGGAAGGGGCCAAACTCACCTTGTGCATAGTGTCAGGGAGGCGACCCAAGGATGACATCATATGAGGGCCTGGGAGCCGGGAAGAAAGCTAAATGGGTGCAGTGCAGTTTGCGTACCAGGGGTTAAGAGGCATGGAACGGGGCTGGTGAGAGGCTGTATCTTCAGACAGGGAACAGCATTCAAAGGCTTCAGGTGAGAGGGAGCATGGCTCCCTAGGAATGAATGCATTTCATCACCTGGAAGAGTAGAAACTGCAGGCTAGTGAAAGATGAAGCTCGACAGGTAAGCATAGACCAAAGCTTGCTGGGTCTTGAGAGCCACATAGAGGAGTTTGGACTTTAAGAAGAGGGTGCTGGGAAACTAGGAAGAGCCTTTCAGCTGACTTGTGGAGGGAGCAAGAGAGGAACAGAGAGCCCAGCCTGGGGCAGCAGGCCCCCCAGGAAATGGTAGTGACTTGAGATAGGGTGGAGAGAGTGGAGATAGAAGTGGGGGAAATCAGCAGGGCTCAGGGACTAAATGCATGAGGGAAAAAGGAGAGGGAGGGGTCTGGGCGTGGTTCCCAGGTGGTGGTGCTCACTGGGGTGGGGGCAGGTTTCAGCTGGAAGAGAACCAGTTACTTTGATACGCGCTGAGTGAGGCGTCTGAGCTGCCAGGTGCAGCTGGCTAGGAGACAGTCTAGATTTAAGTGTCTGGAGCTCAGAAGAGAATCTACAATGGCAGTTATAAATTTGGGAGTCATCAGCACAAAGATGATCATTGAACCCTGAAATGTGTAACCTGTCTCAGCCAGAATATTAGTTGGGAAGAGAGGACCTAGGACAGAACTTAGAGAAAAGCCAGCATTTTAAGAAATTGCACAAGGAACACGTGCTTATGGTAAAAAAGTAAATAATACAGCGATGGTAGAAGTCAGAAAAAATGCAGAGATGGTAGAAGACTTCTGTGGGTAGAAGTCAGGGACCCATGAAGTTAGGAAAAATATTACCTCTCAATTTTGGCTAACTTCAAACTGAAATTTAGTATTTTCTTCAATTATGAGTGTTGGCAACAAACCCCACTATGATTAGCAGCACCTCTGACTTTGTCACTAATAGAAATCAGATATTTTCATATTACAGCTGTTGGCATTGTTTACATATTGTTTATGCTCATTTCTAAATTACTGTCATTATTTGACTTGAAACATATGTCACATCACCAATTTGTTTTGAATACTTTGATAACTTTTTTTTTTGGCCACTCGACGCGGCTTGCAGGATCTATGTTCCCTGACCAGGGATTGAACCCAGGGCCATGGCACTGAAAGCCCAGAATCCTAACCACTAGGCCACCAGGGAACTCCCTATTTTGATAACTTTTAATTAGTTTCTTTTATTATGGAGTTTTCCCTATGTATTTAAAAAAATATTTATTTATTTATTTGGCTGAGTCGGGTCCTCATTGCGGCATGTGGGATCTTTCGTTGCAGAGCTTCTTGCAGTGCACGGGCTTCTCTCTAGTTGTGGCGTGCGGGTTTTCTCTTCTCTAGCTGTGGTGTGGCCTCCAGAGCGCGTGGGCTCTGTAGTTTGTGACACAGGGCTCTTTAGTTACGGCACGTGGGCTTAGTTGCCCCGCGGCATGTGGGATCTTAGTTCCCTGACCAGGGATCGAACCCATATCCCCTGCATTGGAAGGCAGATTCTTTACCACTGGACCACCAGGGAAGACCCTCCTGTGTATTTTGTACATCTAAAAACATCATTTTGGGAAAAGCCTATAGACTTCACCAGGTGCCTGGTGAGTCCATGCCACAAAATGGGTAAAAACTCCTGAAATAGAAGAAGTACAAGGCTGTCCTTAACACTCCCACCACCTCACCAGCAGTCCCAGTCCCCTGCCCCGGAATAATGACAGGGATCACCACTTGGGGGCTGGGGAAAGGAGGGTGAGCCAGAAAATGAGACAGAGGCCAGGCCATCGGGAGAAATCCAGAGGAGTACGCAGCTTCGGGAAGGAGGATGTGTTTGTGCCAGATGCTGCTGAGGAGTTAAGGAAGAGGAAGACTAGATTTAGTGAAGAAAGTCATTTGTGACCATGGCTAGAGAACTTCATTGGAGGCCCACGTAGAAGCCCCAGGGCAGTGGGGTCAGGTGTGATCAGGGGGATGACAGGTGAAAAGGATTGGAGGTTGAAGGGTCATGGAGCAGGTCTGAAGTGACTGATAAGGTGAACGATGGGGCCAAGTAGAGGACATGGGATTATGGGGCTGCACTGAGGGCCCAGCAGAATCAGGAGAGCGTGGACTGACCGTGTACCCAGTTAGCGGGTTTTGTTCCCATCATCTGTAAGCAGCCCAGACAGAGGCGTGGGAAGATGAACATGTATATTGCTGTGCGTTAGAGCTTTGCCACAGAAACAGGACAAAGGACAGTTGATCAGGGGGTGGAGGATATTGTCAAGATGTGGTTAACCAGGTGGGTTTGCATCCTAACAGAGGAGATGGGCCTTGAATAAGTAATAAAACGTGATATATTCTGTGATAAATGCCATGGAGATCAAGAAGGAAAGATAAACAGCTAAAGCATGATGGTGAAGAGCTGTTTTATTTTTTTTGAACAGCTTCCTTGAGATAAAATCGACATAAAACAAACCATGTGTGTGTAAATATATGATTGAATAAGTTTCGATGCATATATGCTCATGAAAACATTACCATGATCAAGATAATGAATACATCCACTGACCCCAAAAATTTCCTTGTGCGAGGGGCTATTTAAGAAAGCATAGTCAGAGAAAGTCCATCAGAAGAGGTGTCATTTGAGCAGAGACCTGAGTGAAGTGAGAGAGCAAGCCATGTTTAATTTGCAACAGGAGCAGCAGGGAGGCCAGTATGGCTGGAGCTGGGGAGGGAAAGGAGGAGGTGGTGAGATGGTCACCCGCACCCTGAGGCCAGGTACTTTGTTGTGCTCCATGCTGCACCCCAGTGCTTAGAGTGGGCTGTCCCACGGAGAAGGTGCCCAGTCATGTCTGCTGAGCACATGAATGCCTGGGACAGCCACGAGAACAAGGTTTGGTGGCAGGGTGAGTCAGGGAGAGGGTTCTCCAAACAGCCTGGTAGTAGGGGAGAAGACGTGGGCCAGAGGGCACGCATCTTGGACAGGCAGCAGGAACCCTGAGGAGCAGTAGCGTGGGAGACACCTGGCCATACGTCAGCCGGCCCTCCAGCCTGACCACCTACCTTACTCCCTTGCAGAGGTTCCGGTTCTGTGGTGACCTGGACTGTCCTGACTGGGTCCTGGCAGAGATCAGCACGCTGGCCAAAATTGTTGAGTGCATGAGGTCTTGGGGGTGGGGGCAGAGAGGGATTGCGGCTGGGGGCTCTGAGGGTGGAGGGTGGGGAGGTCACTCTTGAGCTGGGGCCTCAGCGCTCTCGGGCTATCCGAACATGCTGTGTGACTGATCAGGTATGTGGCCAGCCTTCTCTGAGCCAGCCCACCAGCATGGAGGGGTGAGGTGGGTCAGTCTGGCTGATGTAAGGCCTTCCCCTCCAGTCCTCCGTGAAGCTGAGGCTGCTGTGTAGCCAGGTGCTGAAGGACCTTCTGGGACAGGGGATTGACGTGAGTTCAGGGCCCCGCACCCCACTGTCCCATGACCCTGTGACCCCCACTGCCCTGAAAGTGCACCAGACCCAGGGAGACGGGTGATCAGCTCCCACCCTCCCTAGATACCTCGTGTCCTTACCACAGGATCCAGGCCAGGGGTTGGGGGCTAGTGAGCGGGGGTCCGGCACCCCTTGAGGGCCTCCTTTCTCCACAGTATGAGAAGATCCTGAAGCTCACCGCTGATGCCAGGTTTGGTGAGTACCCCACTGGGTCCGCAGACCTTTGGGCAAACCCGGGTATTCAGCCTGGGGCCTGGCACAGAGGCCCCTCCTCCCAACAGCCCACTCTGACCCACCTGCCTCAGCAGAGGAGCACGAGGGAAGAAAGACATTGCCAGCCCTAGGGTCCTCTGCCCACTCCCAGTGGGGCAGTAGCGGTGCTCATGGCTCAAGGAGGCCTAGGGGCTCTGAGCTGAAGATAGTGGGGTGTCAAGGAGGTGGCTGGGGCCGCAGTGACACCCTCCATTCCACCCACGGCTCCCCCCAGAGTCGGGTGATGTGAAGGCCACAGTGGCAGTGCTGAGTTTCATCCTCTCCAGTGCGGCCAAGCATAGCGTGGATGGCGAGTCCTTGTCCAGTGAACTGCAGCAGCTGGGGCTGCCCAAAGGTACAGGGATGAGGGCAGGCAGGTGGGTAACCTGTGGGCCAAGGGGTGCCAGGCAAAGGTCAGGCTGTGTGACCCTGAGATGCACCTTGCCCTCTCTGGGCCAGGAGCCTGAGACCTGCCCTTTGAGTGGCCTAAGCCCCAGCACCCACCTGCTAGCTCAGGGGACCTCCCTTCGGCCCCCAGAGCATGCAGCCAGCCTGTGTCGCTGTTATGAGGAGAAGCAAAGCTCCCTGCAGGAGCACCTGCGGGCCTGCAGCCTGCGAGGTGAGTGTGGGGTGCCCGGGTGGGGGCTGGGCTCCGTTCTAGAAGGTGCATGTGGCTTGGGAGGTGTTTGTCCTCAGAAAGGAGACTTAACCACATCACATGTCGAGCAGTCACAGAGCTGGGATTCCTGACACCAGCGCCGGTTTCTTTCCTCTGAGATCTGCTATGGGTAATCTGAGCTCCTGGATCAGAGGGATGAGAGCTTCTCAAAGGCCACATAGCCCTGAAGGGTTCAGGGCTGAACCAGGGTACGGGCTAGGGCTGCCTGGCTCCCCTGCCTGTGACCCTGAGCCCCTTTCGGTCTTGCAGTGAATAGGCTGACAGGCGTGGGCTGGCGGGTGGACTACACCCTGAGTTCTAGCCTGCTGCGGTCCGTGGAAGAGCCCATGGTGCACCTGCGGCTGGAGGTGGCAGCTGCCTCGGGTGCCCCGGCCCAGCCTGTTACCATGTCCCTCTCAGCAGACAAGTTCCAGGTCCTCCTGGCAGGTGAGGCTCAGCTGTACCTGGAGGGTAAGGGGCCCTCCCGGATCCTGCCTAATTGCCACCTGCCTACCTACCTCTTGCCCCTGCAGAACTGAAGCAGGCCCAGACCCTGATGAGCTCCCTGGGCTGAGAAGAAGAGCTCATGGGGCCCATGTGGAACTGCCCTCCAGACTTCTCTTCAGGGGGTGCCCCAGCTCCAGGACCCTAGGGGCCTGGCCTCCTGGATGTCTGGCTTCCTAGGTTACCACCTGAGAATTCAGCCCAGGGATCCTGAACACTCTTGCAGCATTGTCTTCCCTCCCCCGTGAAAGGCGCATGTCAGTGGTTTTCATGAGAAGAAAGAATAAACAGAAGTGTAAGAAGTGTAAAGAAGTGTGTGCATGGATTTCTTTTGGGTTCAGATCAGAGGTTTTCAGGAGAGAGACCAAGTGACATACTGACCTCCCTGACCTATTGCACGTTTTCTTTTTTCTTTGCTCAGCTGTGATTGAGGCAGGTCAGGGTTGAGGCAGAACGAGAGCCGAAATGAAACAGCTTGTCTGTAGACAGGAAAATCAGGGTTCTAGCTCCCAGTCCTATGATGCTCTTGACTCTGCCCTCTCTGTGCTGGCCCTGTCCTTAGGCTGGCAGCAGGTGGTTGGCCCCAACACCAGATACCCCAGGTAGAGAAAGGAGAGAGCCCTTGCCTCTCTGTCATCTTCTTTAGGAAGAGAGAAGGCCCATGCCGGAACCACTCACTGGCAAGTGGAATGGGATAATGGGCTGAATGTTTGTGATGCACCCATTCCCGACCCCCTGCCAAATTCATATGTCTAAGCCCCAACTCCCAGTGAGATGGTTTTAGGAGGTGGGGCTTTGGGGAATAATTAGGTTCAGATGAAGTCATGAGAGTGGGACCCTTGTGATGATTAGCACTCTTATAAGAAAAGGAAGACAGACTCTCTATACCGTGGAAAGGCCATATGAGAACATAGCAAGAAGACAGCTGTCTAACAAGGCAGGAGAGAGCCCTCACCAAGAACTGATTCTGACTCGAACTTGGACGTCCCAGCCTCCGGAACTACGAGAAATAAATGTCTGGTTTTTTGGATTTTAAAAAAAAATAATAAATAAATTTATTTATTTATTTTTTGACTGTGTTGGATCTTCACTGCTGTGTGCAGGCTTTCTCTAGTTGCGGAGAGCGGAGGCTACTCTTTGTTGCGGTGCACAGGTTTCTCATTACAGTGGCTTCTCTTGTTTCGGAGCACAGGCTCCAGGGCACGCAGGCTCAGTAGTTGTGGCTCACGAGCTCTAGAGCGCAGGCTCAGTAGTTGTAGCACATGGGCTTTGCTGCTCTGCGGCATGTGGGATCTTCCTGGACCAGGGCTCAAACCCATGTCCCCTGCATTGGCAGGTGGATTCTTAACCACTGCACCACCAGGGAAGTCCCTAAATGTTTGTTTTTTAAGCCACCCAGTCCATGGTGTTTTGTTATAGCAGCCCGAACAGACTAAGACAAATGGCCTCCCAGGACTGGCTTAGGCCAGCTAGGGTCCCTTGTAGAACAGACTGATTCCAGGTGTGGGGCAGGGAGAATACAAGGTAAGCCTAGAACATCTCGGGATCCAAGGAAGCTATCAAAGAATAATAAGTAATGTCAACAGGAGCCAGCTCATCCCACTGGCTAAAGATGGGACAATTTAAGCATCAAAGATATAAGGACTCACTCCCCTCCTGGCTTCTGCTTCTGGAGAAATGGAGCAGATAGGCTTTTCTCTATTCCTTCCACTAAGCTCAGCTAAAAACCTTAGACGTTATATATAAAACAAACATAAGACTATGAAAGGTGACAAGAAGAAGGCAGACTGGCTAGACCTCAAGACCTGAAGAACAACACAGCAGAGAATTCCTTAGATTTTCTTTTTGCTTCATGTATCCCAAGCTGGGAGCTGGAGAAGCCATCCACCTAGAAACAACACATAGACAAAGGAAGGCCCAACAAAAGCCTACTCTCTCTAGGCAAAGGACTGGGAAAAGGACAGTCCAGCAGGACAGAAAAAGTTACAGACAGTAATGGCTGTACTCCAGCCACACCCTGCGGAACTGCAGCCCTTCTTCGACCCCTGACTGCAAAGGCTGAGTGGAAGCCTAGACTCCCACCCCATCCAGCAATAAGGAGGTGGCATACCCCTTTCCCCACTGGTACTGTGTCAGAGGAGGCCTGCTAAAAGAGAAGATTTAAATAAGATGCAGTCTCATAATACCCCAAATGTCTAGGATTCAATTTAAAAAATCGTTGTACCAAGAACCAAGAAAATCTCAACGTGAGTGAAAAAAGACAACAAATGCCAACACCAAAATGACTCAGCTGTTAGAATTCTATGCTAAGGATTTTAAACAGCTTCATAAAAATGCCTCAAGTCTCAGCAGAGAAACAGAAGATATAAAGAACCAGATAAAAATCTTAGAACTGAAAACTACAATAACCCAAGTAAAAATCTCAATGGGTAGACTTAACAACAGAAGAAAGAATCAGTGCATTTGAAGACAAATCAATAGAAATTACCCAGCCTGAATAACAGAGAGAAAATAGTTTGGAAAACAAACAACAACAAAACAATAAAACAGAGTTTCAGGGACCTGTAGGACTATAACAAAAGATCTAGTATTTGTGTTGTCAGAGTCCCAGAAGGTGAGGAGAAAGAAGGTAGGACAGAAAAAGTATTCAAAGAAATAATGGCTAAAATTTTCCAAAATATGGCAAAAGACTCAAACCTACAGAGTCAAGAAACTGAATGAACTCCACACAGGTTGAACCCAAAGAAATCTATGTCAAGGTATGTCATAATCAAACTTCTGAGAACTAAAGAAAAAAATTTTTGAAAGCAGCAAGAGAGTGATGACCCCTTACATATAGGGGGGAAACAATTCGAATGACTGAATATCTCATTAGAAACCACAAAGGCCAGAAACAAAAAGCGCAACACGTTTTGGGCCCTGAAAGAAAAGAAGTGTCAACCCAGAATTTTATATTCAGCGAAAATCACCTCAAGAGTAAAGGGGGAGTAAAAGAATGAAATTAGAACATTTTTCTCACACCATATACAAAAATAAACTCAAAATGGATTAAAGACCTAAATGTAAGACTGGATACCATAAAACTCGAAGAAAATGTAGGCAGAACACTCTGACATAAATTGTAGCAATATTTTTTTGGATCTGTCTCCTAAGGCAAAGGAAACAAAAGCAAGATTAAACAAATTGCACCTGATTAAACATAAAGCTTTGGCACAGCAAAGGAAACCACTGACAAAATGAAAAGACAATCTACAGAATGGGAGAAAATATTTGCAAATGATATGACCGATAAGAGGTTAATATTCAAAATATATAAATAGCTCATACAATTCAATATCAAAAAAACAAGCAACCCGATTAAAAAATGGGCAGAAGACCTGAAAAGATATTTTTCCAAAGAAGACATAGAGATGGCCAACAGGCATATGAAAAGATGCCCAGCATCACCAATTATTAGAGAAATGCAAATCACAACCACAATGAGATATCACCTCACACCTGTCAGAATGACTACCATCAAAAAGACCACAAATAACAAACGTTGGCAAGGATGTGGAGAAAGGGGAACCCTCGTACTTTGTTGGTCTGAATGTAAATTGGTGTAGCCACCGTGAAAGCAGTATGGAGGTTCCTCAAAAAACTAGCAATAGAACTACAATGTAATCCAGCATTCCTACTTCTGGGTATTTATCTGAAGAAGACAAAGACACTAATTCAAAAACACACATGCACCCCAATGTTCATAGTGTGTGTGTGTGTGTGTGTGTGTATACATATATATATATATATATATGATATCACTCAGCCTTAAGAAATAATTAAATTTTGCTATTTACAAAAACATGGATGGACCTGGAGGGTATTATGCTTAGTGAAATAAGTTAGAGAAAGACAAATAGTGTATGATATCACTTATATGTGAAATCTAATAAATGAATGAATATAACAAAACAAATAGACTCACGGATATAGAGAACAAACTACTGGTTGCCAGTGGGGAGACAGAAGGGGGAGGGGCAAGATAGGAATAGAGGATTAAGAGGTACAAACTACTATGTGTAAAATAAATAAGCTTCAAGGACATATGTACAGCACAGGATATATAGTCAATGTTTGATAATAACTTTAAATGGAGTATAATTATAAAAATATTGGATCACTATGTTGTACACCTGAAACTAATATAGTATTGTAAATCAACTATACTTCAATTTGAAAAATGACAAAATTGTAAGGCATTTTAAAAAAGAGTAAAGGGGGAAATCAAGACATTCACAGATGAAGGGTAACTAATATAATTTGTCACCAACAGACCTAATCTAAAAATAAAAAGGCTAAAAGGAAACCATAAACAAAACAAAAAGACAACCCACAGCATGGGAGAAAATATTTGCAAACGATGTGACTGACAAGCGATTAATCTCCAAAATATACAAACAACCCATGCAGTTCAATATCAAAAAAACAAACAGGGCTTCCCTGGTGGCACAGTGGTTGGGAGTCTGCCTGCCAATGCAGGGGACACGGGTTCAAGCCCTGGTCCGGGAAGATCCCACATGCCGCGGAGCAACTGGGCCTGTGCGTCACAACTACTGAGCCTGTGCTCTAGAGCCTGCGAGCCACAACTACTGAGCCCACGTGCCACAACTACTGAAGCCTGCGCACCTGGAGCCCGTGCTCCGCAACAAGAAAATCCACTGCAACGAGGAGCCAGCGCACCGCAATGAAGAGTAGCCCCCACTCGCTGCAACTAGAGAAAGCCGCTGCGCAGCAACAAAGACCCAATGCAGCCAAAAAAAATAAAATAAATAAGTATATAGAAAAATAAATTGTTAAAAAAAACAACCCGATGAAAAAATGGGCAGAAGATCTAAATAGACATTTTTCCAAAGAAGACACACAGATGGCCAAAAAGCACATGAAAAGCGATGCTCAACGTCGCTAATCATTAGAGAAATGCAAATCAAAACTACAGTGAGGTATCACTCCACACCAGTCAGAATGGCCATCACCAAAAAGTCTACAAACAATAAATGATGGAGAGGGTGTGGAGAAAAGGGAACCTTCCTACACTGTTGGTGGGAATGTGAATTGGTACAGCCACTATGGAGAACAGTGTAGAGGTTCCTTAAAAAATTAAAAACAGAGCTATCATATGATCCAGCAATCCCATTCCTGGGCACATATCCAGAGAAAACCATGATTCAAAAAGATACATGCACCTCAGTGTTCACTGTGGCACTATTTACAATAGCCACGTCATGGAAACAACCTAAATGTCCATCAACGGATAAAGAAGATGCGGTACCTATATACAGTGGAATATTACTCAGCCATAAAAAAGAATGAAATAATGCCATTTGTAGCAACATGGATCGACCTAGAGATTATCATACTAAGTGAAGTAAGTCAGACAAAGAAAGACAAGTGTCATATGATATTACTTATATGTGGAATCTAAAACATGATACAAATGAAGTTATTTACAAAACAGAAACAGACTCACAGATGTAGAAAACAAACTTATGGTTACCAAAGGGGAAAGGTGGGGGGGGAGGGATAAACTGGGAGGTCAGGATTAACATATACACACTACTATTTATAAAATAGATAATCAACAAGGACAAGGAAGTCTACTCCATACTCTGTAATAACCTATATGGGAAAGGAATCTGAAAAAGAATAGATATTGTATATGTATAACTGAATCACTCTGCTGTACACCTGAAACTAACACAACATTGTAAATCAACTATGCTCCAATATAAAATAAATTTTTTTTAAGAAAAAGGCTAAAGGAGGATCTCCAAACAGAAAGGAAATGATAGAAGAAGAAATCTTGAAACATCAGGAAGGAAGAACAATGGAAAGACTAAAAACATGGATGCAGCAGACTTTCCTTCTCTTGAGTATTTTGAAATATGTTCGACAGTTGAAGCAAAACAAAATACTGTTAGATGTGGTTCTCAATGTATGTAGAACAGATATTTAATGTTATTATAAACACGGGAGGGCAAAGGGAAGTAAGGTTTCTCTATACTCAACTTGATAAAATGTCGACACCAGTGAACTGTGACAAGTACATACATGTGTATAGTGTAACACCTACAGCAACCACTTCGAAGGGTATGCAATATAACACACTCAAAAACAATATAGGTAAGTCAAACTGGAATTCTAAAAGATGTTCAAGTAGCCCACAGGAGGGCAAGAGAAAGAAGACAAAACGAAAAACAGGGAATAAACAAAGCACAAATAAAGTGGCAGACAAAAATTCACAAAGAAATTTCCAAGTCTCATCAAATGTATAATATGAACTTGGTTTCCTAGGTAGCATTCCCTCTTCTGTGTTGTCACAGAATCCCGTAGAATCTCCTCTCATTGCTATTGTAGCACTGCATTAATTTTGTATTTACTACCTGCCTTTTACCAGCCTTTTTTAAAGATGGGAATTGTATATCCCTGTTTGTATAGCCCCAAAGACTAATATAGTACTCTTTCAATAAGTGGGGGTAAAAGATAAAGATTGCAACAAATTTAAAGATATTAAATGTGGAAAAAAATCAATGAGTCCATAAAAGATAACCCCCCCAAATCAATTCTAATTTGTCACCATTGGATATTATTGCACCAAATTCTTAGTCTAAAAATTGATAATTAAAGAGAAGGGTTTCAGAATTTATCCTTCTTTTTAGTATTTCAGAATACCCAAATAACCCTAGTCAATGGAGTAAATCTCTTCTTTACAGAAGAATTCCAGCTAATGTAGAAGGAATGACAGAATCAGAAAATCACCATTTTGTAACTCCCAATTAAATACTTGATTGAGGCAAGGATCACCAGTGATGATAAAGCCATTAGGTGAAAGGTTGATGTGATGTGAAACTGGGTATTTGCGTGGTGCTAAAGAATCACCACATGTAAACAACCCAATGTCCCTCAGCTGGTAAGTGGATAAACACGCTGGTACGTCTACACAGTGGAATACTACTCAGCAATAAAAAGGAATGAACTAGGGGCTTCCCTGGTGATGCAGTGGTTGAGAGTCCGCCTGCCGATGCAGGGGACACGGGTTCATGCCCCGGTCTGGGAAGATCCCACATGCCGCGGAGCGGCTGGGCCCGTGAGCCATGGCCGCTGGGCCTGCGCATCCGGACCCTGTGCTCCGCAACGGGAGAGGCCACAACAGCGAGAGGCCCGCGTACCGCAAAAAAAAAAAAAAAAAAAAAGGAATGAACTGATCGATAAGCATAACAACGTGGATGGTTCTCAAATGCATTATGCTATGAGGAAGAAAGCAGATGCACAAGGCTATGGGCTGAAGATTCCATGTACAGGCATACCTCGGAGTTAACTGCAGGTTTGGTTCCAGAACACTGCAGTAAAGCAAGTATGGCAATAAGGTGAGTCACATGAACTTTTTGGTTTCCCAGTGCATAGAAAAGTTTTGTTTACACTATACTGTAGTCTATTAAGTGTGCAATAAATAGCACTGTGTCTAAAAAAACAATGTACAAACCCTAATTAAAAAATACTTTATTGCTGGGGGTGTGAGCGAGGGATGGATTGGGAGTTTGGGATTGGCAGATGCAAACCATTATATATAGAATGGATAAACAACAAGGTTCTACTGTATAGCACAGGGAATTATATTCAATATCTTGTAATAAACCATAATGGAAAAGAATATGAAAAAGAATATACATATAAATGTATAACTGAATCACTTTGCTGTACAGCAGAAACTAATACAACATTGTAAATCAACTATATTTCAATAAAATAAATTTTAAAAATACTTTATTGCTAAAAAATGCTAACCATCATCTGACAATGGAGGATTGCCACAAACCTTCAATTTGTAAAAAAAAATGCAATATCTGTTAAGCGCAACAAAGTGGAGCGCAATAAATGAGATATGCCTGTGTATGATATTGGCAAAAAACTATAGGGGCGGAAAACAGATCAGTGGTTGCCAGCGAGTACGGTGTAAGTGTTGACTAAAAAGGTGCACGGGCAAATTTTAGGGGGGTGATAGAAATGTATTATCTCTTGATTGTGGTGATGATTATGAGTGTATGAATTTGTCAAAACTCACACTCTAGGGCTTCCCTGGTGGCACAGTGGTTGAGAGTCCGCCTGCCGATGCAGGGGACACAGGTTCGTGCCCCGGTCCGGGAAGATCCCACATGCCGCGGAGCGGCTGGGCCCGTGAGCCATGGCCGCTGAGCCTGCGCGTCCGGAGCCTGTGCTCCGCAACGGGAGAGGCCACAACAGTGAGAGGCCCGCGTAACGCAAAAAAAAAAAAACAAAATAAACTCACACTCTAGGGACTTCCTTGGCGGTCCAGTGGTTAAGACTCCACACTTCCAATGCAGGGGGCCACAGGTTCAATCCCGGCTGGGGAACTAAGATCCTGCATGCTGTAAGGCGCCACCAAAAAAAAAAAAACCTACCAAAAACAAACAAAACAAAAAACTCACATTCTAAAAAAGATGAATTTTACTGTATGTACATTTTAACTTAATTTAAACAAACAAAAATAGACCAACAAAACAAAGAAATCACCCCATAGATTACTTAGTGGTCACAAGGTGTGAAACATACCTTTACAACACAGAAGTCTGGCTGTCAGAGCCTCACCAGTGATCAATTTCAGCCTCACTAAAGTGAGACAACCAGATGTTGGGCACCTCCTAATGTGATGCAGTTTGGAGTACAGAGCAGCACCCAGGAGACATATGTATTTCCAAGCTTTAGATCTAATTTCTGGTGTGCAGGGAAAACTAGAGATAGAGGAACAAGTTAACGACACCCAAGGAAACATCAGACAAATCCAGAATGTGATGGGGCATCTCAAAGGACAATTGGCTTGGAATCTTCAGAAAGGTCAGTATCATGAAGTCCAAAAAAAAAGGAGGTGAGGTGGGTAAGAGGTGGGGAGGGTGGTTCCATCTAGATTAAAGTGACTGAAGAGACACAGAATCCTTATTTGGTGTCTGCCTTGAACAAACTAGCTATCAAAGACATTTTGCGGACAATTAGGGAAATCTGAATGTGGGGTATGTATTAGGTAATATTAACAAGTTATTGTTGGGACTTCCCTGGTGGTGCAGTGGCTAAGACTCCGAGCTGGAGTTGATCCCTGGTCAGGGAACTAAATCCAGCATGCTACAACTAGGACCTGGTGCAGCCAAAATAAATAAATAATAAATATTTTTTTTAAAAAGTTGTTAACTTTACTAGCTCGATAAAGGCATTGTCTCATTTTAAATACTGTCAAAATAAATGAATAAATAGATTAAGGGGGGAGGAAGGAGAAGTAGTATGAATCCTGGCTGTGGGTCAGGGACCAGTGCCTGCTACACTTAGGATGAAAGGCCAGCTCCTTACAGAGGCCTCCAGAGGTCGGACCAGACCAGACCAGCTCTTGCTTGTGTGTCTGTCCTCACCTCTCAGCACTACCCCCAGCCACCTTCTTTGAGTGGGCCAATCGCTCGCTTTCCAGCCTCCAAGCCTTTGCATTGTCAGTTCTTTCCGCCTGCCGTAGCGACTCGTCCCCTCTCTTTTCCGGATGGCTCCTTCTGAGGTTTCAGCCTAAATGTCATCGCAGAGAGACCCTCCTCCACAACGGAAGTAGGTTCCGCTCTCGGCTCCTGCCTTTGGCTGCTTGGCTACACTTCATCGCCCGTGGTGATGATGTTTACTTGTTATGTCTGACTAGCGTTGAAACTTAGAGCCACCACCGGGTCCCCAGAGCCTGCATTTATCGCGCACCTGTTCGCGCTCTGCGCACAGCTGCAGGCGCCTCTGCTTTGGGACGGTGCTTCTGTTTCCTGCTGGGAGTGCCGACGCGGTCCCGGACTAGCCGGGTGGCTTCTCACAGCCACAGAGACAGCTGCAACCCGGGACCTCAGACCTGACGCCGGATCCCGCCGGCGCCGGGCAGCGGGAAGCCAGGTTCTTCCGCCACCCCCCAGCCAGGTGACTGCCCCAAAGCCTTTCCCACACCCCAAGCCCCCCAGCTCGGGGACCCCACCCGGAACAGTCTTTGCCACCTACCTGAGGAACTACACTTCCCATCAGGCGCTGGAGCAGCGACCGCAGCTCCCAGTGCGCTCCCAGGCGCCGCTCCGCCCCCGGCCTTAACCCCATAGTGCCTGCAGGCTGGCGGGAGCGGCGACGGGCGCAGGTAGCCTGCGAGTGGGCTCGGGGTCGGGGTGGGTGTGCAACAGAGGTGAGGAGAGGACGGGTTTGGGGGCCTTGGGGAGGAAGGGAACCAGGGTTAACCGAGGACAGGCAGCGGGGGTGGAGGATGGGGGTGGGTGGGAGGCGAGCCATAGACCGTCCGCCCCTCGCGAAATTAAGAACCTGGAAGTTCACCTTTTCCAGCGAAACGAACCCTTTCGGGTGCCAGGTCCGGGGCGGCGCTGAGGTTGCGGCGGGGGCGGGGGGGGAGGGCAAAGGAGTCTGCCCTGGCTAAATGTCCCCCTCTGCCCAACACATACCTTCGCCGTCGATCTGGCGAAGAGGAAAGTGGCAAACTCTCCTCTCTACGCCAGCGAGGGTGAGGAAGGGGACTACGCCTCTCTCGGCCCGAGGCGCTGACCGCTGACCGGGGCGTTTCCTATTCCCCCCTGGATCATGGGCTAGAGCTTGGGGAGCCCTTCTGACTCCCCTATCTCCTCCCTCGAAGTGTGTACCTGACTCCAGCGCTGATGTACCTGGAGACACCTGCATTCCCTCTTCCTTGTCCTCGCTATGGTCCTGACCAGTGTGGGTGGTGGCAGGCCTCCACACTGCCGGCTGAGCCTCTGAGCAACCGTTTTCCCAGCTCTTCTCTTCCAGGCTCATTCCCTCAGTCATTGTGACAACCGATGCGGGCCTGATTCCAAGCGGTGGGGTGATGAGCAAGCAGAGTTTCCACTCTGGGGTGGGAGTGGAGGTAGAGGCAGAGAAGAGATGATAAAATAATTTCAGGTTCTGGGAGTGCCACGAAGGAAGGAAAACGTGTAGGGGGTCGGGGGGTACGATGCTGCCTTGGATAGGGTGGTCAGGGAGGTCCTCTCTTGGATGTTCCCAGACTGAGGGGGACAGCAGGGGCGAAGGCACGGGGGAAAGAAGAGCAGTGTGCTTGAAGCAAGTGAGTCAGAGGGAGCGTGGGAGGAAATGAGATGACAGTGTGGGCCCGCGAAGGAGCTGGACGTTATTCTAAAATCAGGAAGGGTTCATGGAAGCCCATGGAACGCGTTAATGAGCAAGGGAGTCACGTTTCCCTAGTCTGAGCTTTCTCAGCATTTTCGGCGGGGGGCGGGGGAAGGGTTGTGGAGCAGGGACTGTGACCAAGCCAGCTGACTTCCTGCCAATTATCAGTTGACCATGGCCCCCTCTGACCCTCTGAAAACTGGGAGTGATAATTGCTACCTCACTGGATGCACACCTGGCCCAACCTGCTGTCATCCTCCCCCACAGGGCCTGGCCACCCCTCCCACAGAATGCCTGAGGGCCCTGAGCTGCATCTGGCCAGTGACTTTGTGAACGAGGCATGCAGGGAGCTGGTGTTTGGCGGGTGTGTGGAGAAGTCACCTGTCAGCCGCAACCCTGAGGTGCCCTTTGAGAGCAGCGCCTACCACATCTCAGCTTTAGCCCGAGGCAAGGAGCTGCGCCTGACACTGAGCCCCCTGCCTGGGGCTCAGCCCCCACGAGGGCCACTGGCCCTTGTCTTCCGCTTTGGCATGACCGGCTCCTTCCAGCTGGTGCCCAGCGATGCGCTGCCACCCCATGCCCATCTGCGCTTTTACACGGCTCCCCCTGGCCCCCGACTTGCCCTCTGCTTCGTGGACATCCGCCGCTTTGGCCACTGGGACCTCGGGGGCAAGTGGCAGCCAGGCCGCGGGCCATGTGTCTTGCTGGAGTACGAGCAGTTCAGGTAGGGCCCGCACCAGGTGTGATGAATACAGCCCTGGGCTCCTGGCCGTTAGTGCCTCGGTGGCCAAGAAGTGAGTTCCAGTCCCTTCACCTGTAGACCAAGACAGTGTGCTTTCCTGGGGACAGTTCCCTGAGCTAATGGATGTGGAAACCCAAAACTGACGAGGGAGAGGGTGGGAGCAAGAGGTGGATGAGGACATGGCCAGTTAGTATGAGAGCTGGGTCTCAGGTCAGCATCCCACTCTGTCTTTTGGCACTCTCAAGAGGCTAAGAAGAAAGGTGGAGAGGCTTTAACAACCTAAGAAAGGAGGCTGAGCAGGAAGGAATTGCTTCAGGGGAGTGCGGAGAGGACTGCCTAATGTGGTTTCTGAATCAGACTGTGGTCTCCCACATTCTGCCTACCCACTGGTCTGTGTCCCGTGGTCTCTGTGCCTGTCTTCTGCCTGAGGGAGGGGTAACGGCTCCACCTGGGATGTGATCCAGGTCACATAAGATGGCACAGTGTCAGCCACTTCCCTTCCTCTAAAGATAAAACATGTATGAGTCTCTGCTTCGTGCCAGGCCAACTCTAAGTGTTGGGGGTTCAGCAGTGATCAAGAGGGATGTGGTCCCTGCTCCCACAGAGCTAGTTCAGGTAGGGCAGGGGGAAAAAGGGGACTAGATTAACTCAAATAGACACATGCCTGAAGAAAAATCCAAGAGGTAGAAAATGACTTTGAGCTGTGGAGGTGGGGGGAGGAGGAGGGTGCATTAGGAAAGGCCACCCCAGGTGACGTGTGAGCTGAGGCCTGCCTGATGAGAAGGAGCCAGCTGTGCATAGCTCTAAAGTAAAAGCAATCTGACAAGAATCACAAAGACAAAGGCTTGGAGTGGACTTGGCAAATCCTTTCTTGGGGAAGGCACGCCTTCGGCTGCCCCTTGGGGTGGGTCAGGGCGTCTCTGGTGCCACAGAAGGCAGCAGACTGCTGGCCTTCCCAGGTATGCCCCCAAGTGCACCCCTAGGGAAGTGTCTGTGTTGTCTTGGATTTCTCCCACTTCACCTCTTCTGGTGAGTCATGCCACAAGTGTACCCTTTGCCAGCTGAAGCTCCTCTCACAAGATGAGCGTTTCGGCTTGTTTTGTCCTCCAGCTGCGGAGCCTGTGGGGATCCGCCCCCCTCAGGAATCTGAACACCCAGGCCAACCTTCCACTCTTACCTTTACCCCAAAACTCTGTCTTCTGGCCCCCTATTTCACTTGCTTCTCACGCCCATCACTGAGTCAGTCTTGCCATGATCCTTTTCCACAAAGAAACAAGATACAGGTACCCTTCATGGTGGTGAAGAGACCCATGCCCCCTGGAGGTGGGGTGGGAGCTGCTGGGGCTCTCACCAGCCAGGGCTTGCCCCCTCACTCCTGCTAAATAAACAGTGCCAGTACCAGTTTCCTGGAAGATCTTCAGCTTCTTGAAAAGACCTGACCCCGCCAATATCAAACCTTCATATCTAACCAACCAGAAGTCCTAGACGGGGAGTTCCAGACTGCGGACACACCTGAGGTCCTGTGGTCGCCTTGTTCTCAAAAATGTCTTGAGTCTGAGGCACTTTGGTGATATACACACCACATACCTAGACTCATGTGTTTTCCTGAACATGCTGCTTTTGACTGGTATTTTTTTACCTTTTGTAATGCATTAAAATCCCACACTGTTGTTCCCATTTAACAGAAAACTGAGGTTCGCACTGCCAAAACACCACTGAGGCTGGGAAGAGGGGAACTGGGACTCCCCACTTCCTTCCCTTGCACCCAGGAATGGGTTCCCCCAGCTCCTCTCCCTTAACCCATTGGGAGGCAGGGAGGGGTGGCGTGGGCAGAATGGGTCTCATGTGCCCAGACTGTGTCCCTCCAGGGAGAATGTGTTACGAAACCTAGCAGACAAGGCCTTTGACCGGCCCATTTGTGAGGCCCTCTTGGACCAGAGGTTCTTCAATGGCATTGGCAACTATTTGCGGGCAGAGATCCTATACCGGTCAGCAGGCAGGCCCCGGGCACGAGGGCTGGGGTGGCTGGGTGTGCCCACGGTCCCCACTGCTTAGCATGGCACCCTCTCTCCACCTCACTGCAGGCTGAGGATACCCCCCTTCGAGAAGGCCCGCACGGTTCTGGAGGCACTGCAGCAGCGCAGGCCGGTGAGGCTGCAGGGAGGGACGCACGCACCTATCAGTGCAGGCCGACAAGGGTCTGGGCTGGGTCAGGCGTCTCCAGCTTAACTCAAGCGGGTCCCTTCTCGGTTTCCAGCCTGTTTCCCCATCTCTACAATGTGTGTGCGTGGGGGAGGCGATGGGGGGGCAGATGAACTGTGTGAGTCCAGCCAAGCTCAGAAGGGGTCTGTTCCTCAAGGGGTCAGCTGCCTTCTGAGTGGCCCTGCCTCATACTGACATCCAGGTCCTACCCCTGCCTCTTCTCCAGAGCCCGGAGCTGACCCTGAGCCAGAAGATCAGGGCCAAGCTGCAGAACCCAGACCTATTGGAGCTGTGCCACTCAGTGCCCAAGGAAGTGGTCCAGCTGGGTGAGGCCTGGGAGGCAAAGATGGCCAGCTAGGTCTGCTTTGGCATATCGTGTAACCTGGGACAGTTCCTGCCCCTCTCTGGGCCTGGTTCCCTGCCTGGGGAATGGAAGTGTGTCAACCTAGTCGTTCCTAAATGGACTAGGCCTCCTTCACTGATCTTCACGTGTCAGGTGTCTATGTCCCCTGAGCTGCCCCATGAGGCAGGCAGGGCAAGGATTCTTAACTCAGCTCCAGGATGGGAAAGCCATGGCCCAGAGTGGGGAAGACGCCAGCCTGAGGTCACACAGCTGGAGGAGGGAGAGCCTTGGCCCCCTGACTCAGTCCATCAGCTTGTAAAGCTGAGGTCTGAGCCAGGTCTAACTGGGCTCCCCCCCCTCCCAGCCTAAGTCAGCCCTCTGACCTCCGCCTGGCTCCTCTGTCCCACAGGGGGCAAAGGCTATGGGCCGGAGAGCACGGAGGAGGACTTCGCTGCCTTCCGAGCCTGGCTGCGGTGTTATGGCACGCCAGGCATGAGCTCCCTGCGGGACCGGCATGGCCGCACCATCTGGTTCCAGGTTTGGGCTCTAATGCTCACACAGGCAAATGGAGCCCTAAGGAAGCTGGTGGGATGGAAAGACCGGGGGTTGCACTGTTCCTGAGGATCTAAGCTTTCCCTGTGCTATGCCCCTCCCCTCCTCTGAGTCCCAGGGTCCCAAGCTAGTGGAGCAGCCCAGGGCAGGGTTACCTTGCTGTTGGCTCTGACCTGGGGAAGAGGGGACGGTCAGAGAGGCTTCCTAGGGGAGGGGCTTCACTGATCTGGAAGGACAGGTGTGAGTTCTGCCTCTCCAAGGAAAACTACCCCTGCCAGATTGACTCCTGAATTCTCCTGATTCCATTTTAGGGGGATCCTGGACCCTTGGCGCCCAAAGGTAAGCTATGCCTAATGTAATGAGAGGGAAAAGGACTAGTTGCCTGCAAGGGCTACAGCACCCTTCTCCATCCCAGTCCCCACTCCAACCCTCGGAGGCACTCCAGAGTGGGAGCATGGGAGTCTAGAGAAAGGGGGCTGCGGCCACAAGACCCTCCAACCCCATCAGCAACAGTATCCTGCAGGGGGCAAGTCCCGCAAGAAGAAATCCAAGGGAGCACAGAGGGGTCCTGAGGACCAAGTGGAGGTATGTCTCCCTGCTCCTACCCCCTCCCTGTACCCTCTCCTGTCCTGGCTGCACCCCCCAGGCCAGGCTCTTGGGCAGCTCCTTCCCTTGACAATGGAGGGCAATGGTGGGTCCTAACCAACCTGTGACATGCTGAGCTCCTCAGGGACCCGTGTCTTCTCCACCCAGAACCCTCCACCTCCAAACAAGGCCCCTTCAAGGACACGAAGGGCACGGAGAGGCCTTCCTGAGCAGACTGCGGCCCAGCAGCCCGAGGGGACCAGCCTCCAACGGGACCCAGAAGCCCCCTGCGTCCCTGAGAAAGGGAAGAGGAGGAGGCAACCAGCGACCTCAGGTGGGCCTTCCTCAGCATCTTCCTCTAGGGAGGGAAGGGGCACCACCAAAACGGGCTCTCCAGGAGAGGAAGGGATGGCAGTGCGGGTGGGAGGAACACGTCGACAAAGGTGGTAGGGAGGCTGTTGGGACAGAGTCCTCAGCCTGGGGTCCGAGCTGCCACCTCACCTGTCCTCCCCACAGGCCGCCGCAGACCCCAAAAGATCAAGGCTGACACCCCATCCTTGGAGCCTGAGGAGACCTCAGCCTCTTAGCAGGAGGGTCTCCTTGCTTGCATCCACCCCTTCCTGCTGCCCTGGATCTGGGCCTGTGCGGCTTCCTGGAAGTTGCAGGGGACTGGCTGCCCCTGGCCCTGTGGCCATTCCCTATACAACTATGACGTTTTCAATTGTACCCATTGTCCCCATTTTTTAAGCCCACGTGAAAAAGGCTGTAATTTTTAGTAAACTGATAAACCTTGAACTTCTTGGGCTGGCTGCAGAAGGTCTGGGAAAGCCGAATGTGGAGGGCCTGGTGCCCAGCCCTGGGGACAGAAGGGCCACTGCCTCAGCATGGCAGACTGAGCCCCATCCCAGGCCTCAAGGCCCTGGCTCTCAGGACAGTCTGCCTCTGCAGGGACAGCCCTTCGGAGGTGGTGCAGAGACCCACCCCGTCCCCCGGGGCAGCCCAGGCTCTACAGCTCCTCCAGTCCAGGATTCCTCATGTGGCTGCTCCCCTAGCGTAGTCCAGACTAGTCAATGCTCCCCTCCTAGTGGGGACCAGCCAGAACCCACCCACCAGGCCTCCTCCCCAGCCCCAGGCCCTCTGCCTGTGGACACGGGGGAAGAGCTGCTGCTGCTTTTCTTCCCCCCACCCCGCCGGCCGCACCACATGGCATGCGGGATCTTAGTTTCCCGACCCGTCCCCTGCACTGGAAGCTCGGAGACTTAACCACTGGACCGCCAGGGAAGTCCCAGAAGAGCGTCTTATATCGTGGTCTTACAATCAGCTTATGGTCACTGATATCCCCCGTCTCTGTCATGGGGCCTGCAATCCAGACCCTGCGCGCACAGATAACCTTAGATCTTGCCCCTGTCCCCAGATGCCTGGGGTGAATACTTCCCCCCTCAATGCCTGAGTTTGGGACCTGAGGGGACTGAGCAGGGGCTACCAGCAGGGTTCCTAAGCCAAGCGTTTATTGTTCAAGCGGTAACTGATCCTTGCTTCAGGCTTGAGAGGCAGAAATGAGGAGCCCCCAAAGCCTTCCACAAACAAAACCCCACGCTCAGGGACTCAGCTCGGTGCGGGCTGCAGCACGAGCAACAGGGACTGCACTTGGAAGGGAGAAAAGGTGAGCTTCAGGCGGCTGTCCCGAAGGGGCAGGGGGCCAGCAGGGTCACGGCGCTCCAGGAGGTCACAGCTGGAGAACAGGAGGGACCATGAGGGCCCCGCGAGGGCAGGACTCCCACTCCCACCCCGCGCCCCCACTCACAGGACGGCCTCCTGAACCGGCAGCGACATGTGCAGCCAGCAGTCCACGTGGCTGCCGTGGGCCTCGTACAGCCTCAGGACCAGCTTGCGGCCCTGGACGCTGGTCTCCGCCTACGGAGGGAGGTGGTGGTGGGCGGGGCCGAGGGCGGGCCCAGCTCGGGACCCCGGCCCGCTCCCCGCACCCCAACGGCCCTTGCCTGCTTGACGGTCTCCAACACGACTGCGGGCGAGGACACTGAAAAGGCGCTCCAGGCGGCGGCGGGTGCCGGGCCCGGGGCGGGCAGCGCCAACAGGGGGAAGTTGAGGCTGTAGGCAGCGGGAATAACGCCAGCGTCCTGGAAGGACCCTGGGCGCAGACCGGAAAGGGACGCGTGGTGGAAAATGAGGGTAGGGGCGTGGGACTGCTGGAGTGCTCCCCACTTACCGTTGGGGCAACCGAGGCTGAGAGGGGCAGAGAGGTATCGGGGCCGCAGCACTCACCCTCATGCGGCATCAGCGCGTAGGTGAACTCGTGGCGCCCCATGTCAACCGTGGCGTCAGGGGACTTGGGCGCCCGCAAGCTGGGGTGGGGAGGGTGGTAAGGGCCAGGCTAGAGCCGCCGAAGTTCTGTCCTGGGAAGACCGCACTCCCATACCCGTCCCTGGGAGGCACCCCACTCACAGGGAGAGGCTGAGGACGCTGCCTCGCACTGACGCCCCATACTTGCAGTCATTGAGCAGAGCCAGCCCAAAGCCGTGCTCTGACAGATCCATCCAGCGGTGGGCCCACACCTGGAGGGTAGATCGGAGACCCACTTGGTGGCCCCGCCGCCTCCTCGTGCTCCAGAGCTCCTGTCAGTAGACTGAGGGAAGCTCCGGGACCACACGATTGAATGCCAGCTCTCACTACAGGAGGCCCTGCGCACACCACACAACCTGTCTAAGCCCCGGCTCCTCATCTGGGAAAGGAGGATAAGGGTACTTACCCCACCAAATGGGCATGAATCAGACTAAACAGAAAGCATTTAGCACCGTGCCTGGCATACATGTCAGGAACCAGCAAATACTGACCATCATCTCCCTCCTCCTCACCCCGTACCACACAACTAGCCTCTCCCCAGCCGGGGAGGATCCAAACCCTCCACCACAGCCCGCCCCACACCACCCCACGTCAGACCTCAAATCGGGCCCAGTCCCAAGAGGTGTTGTAGTGGGTGGGCCGCTGCAGATGTCCGAACTGGACCTCAAAGGTGGCCTGGGGGCTCCGCACACGGGCAGGGAACTCCACCTTCAGGAACTTGTGGGCCTCGTGCCAGTGCACCTGTCGGGGGTGGAGGTAGGGGTGCAAGGGGAGGGACCCCTCCTCACCGGCCACACCCAGGGAAGATACCCACCACCCTGCCCCCTGCTACCTCGGTGTGGAAGCGGACATAGGGGCAGCCGACGTCCAGCACAACCTCTTGGCTGAGCCGACTATTGGGGCTGATCTGCAGCAGAAACCAGGCGCTGCCCCGCATGCCACCCTGAGTGCCCACGGCCAAGGTCCCTGCCTGGCCCAGCACTGGCTTCCTGTGGAACAGGGGAGGGAGGCACTGAGCCAGGACGCCCTGGCGGAGGGGGCCCAATACTCTCATATCCCACACCGCCCCCGAGTCCTGCCCACCCCGCACCGTGTTTCTAGGTGGTAGTCCATGACGTCCCACGCGTCCCAGTACAGGGGGACATCATCGAACAGCACAAACTGGTTCCCCACGGCACCCTCAGCAACGGCCTCCCTGGAAGGACGTGGAGACTAGCGCTTTACAACTGTATGACCGCAGTCTCTCCAGCTGTGTGAGGTGGGTGGGGTGGGAGGTAGGGTGAGTAGGCCCAGAGGACAGGAGACTCCTAACCCAGCCGGCCCCATTCCATGTGTGGGTCCCAGTCCTGAGCCACCTGTGGGCTACTGTGGTCAGCTGTGGCCAGGGGACAGAGGGAATGAGAGGTCTGGGGTCCCCTGCCAGGCACTGGGAGAGGGCAGTGAGGGGTTAGCACCTGCCGGAGGCCACCAGCACCAGAGACGTCAGGCGGCCAGTTGGGTCCAGCCTCACCCGGATGATGCCGTTGTCCAGAGTCACAGAACCGTCAGTCTTGGTGGGAGGGGGGCCTTGAGGCTAAGTCCGCAGAGGCTTTCCGCCACCAATAGCCCGCCCAACCCCAGCCCCAGCCCTGCCTTGCCACCTGCTCCAGGTTGGGGAGCTCAGAACCCCCACGTTGTCAGGGACAGCCCAGGACAGCCAGCCCCCGCCCACCGCGATGTGCCAGCACTCACCTCCTGCACTACAAACACAGGCTGCTGGGGCAGCAGGGGCTGCAGCGAGGTGGGGGTGGGAGCAGGAGCATAGCCCATGCTGGGCACTGTCACCAGAGCTGGGGATGAGGCCTGGGCATCAGCGCAGCCTCCTTCACCTTCCAGGAACCATACTCGGGGCGGGGTGGGGGGCTGGAGGGGGTGAGTATTACTAGTACTCTCTAGCCTGGGGCAACCCGGGGCAGAGATCTCCAGGGGAATGTCCCCAACTCTCGATTTGGCCTTGATCCCTCCTGCTACAGTAGCCACCCTTCTCCCCAGCTCATACCTAGGCAGTGGGCCCCACCAGGCCTGGGCAGGGCCAACACTTCAGTGCGCTTCCAGGGCAGTGTGTTGACGATGAGGAGGCCCTCAGGACCTGGCTCCCCAGCACAAAGGGCTGCGGCTGCAGCGCTGAGCAGTGTGTTGCCACGGGAACGGATGTCTGGGGAGAGACTGGCTGGTCATGGGTGGGCAGTGGGTCTGGGTGACCCCTGAATGTCCCACAGGAGACACCCTGCCCTGGGTGCTGGAGAGCAGCGGAAATGTTGTCAGCCTCACCTTCGTAGTGGCACATGGCTTCCTCTGCCACCAGCTGGATGCAGCTTCCAGTCACCACATCGTGGAACTGGTTCAGAAGCAGGAGCCTGCGGGGGGCCAAGGGCAGGGCTGCGGAAGGCTGGGAGGGAGGGGCAGCCGCAGAGGTGTCTGGGGTGAGGTTAATGGGTGGCAGGGGGGCAGAAGACAGACTGACCTCCAGAGGTCCTGCAGCTGGGCGGCCGGGTAGAGGAACTGGGCACTGCGGGCCAGGGCCAGGCTGCTGAGCAGCTCCACGTCATGCAGGATCCGCTCACACTCCCGGTTCCCCTTCTTGATCTGAGCCCAGGGTAGGGAGAATCAGTCTAGAGTCTGTTCGAGCATCCCAGGACACCTTCCAAAGCCTTCCCTTGCTCAGAACCCCTGGTGGCTCCCCAGGGCCTCTTGTGAGTTATCTACCCCAGATGCCTCCCTTCTCTCCCCTCAGCCCAAGCCCTTCCTCCCTCAGGGATGCTCAGTCCTGCCTCCTCCAGGCTCCTGACCACCTGGCTCTTGCACTTCTCTCCTCTCGGCTCCTCTGTGGAACACAAGCCTCTTCCCCCAGGTCTGGGCTGGGCTCTGTCCCCTGCTTCCTCCTCTGACCCTCTGGGCCTCTCAAGGGCACGCCCTCCCCATCTGGCTCAGCAACCAGCTCCTGACCTGCGCATGGGTGGTGTAGGTGCCATTATGTAGCTCCAGGAAGAGCTCTCCGACCCACGTGCACAGCTGCCCCGAGTGGCCCTCCAGCGCCGAGAAGAGTCGCTCCGGAGAAGAGAACTGCACCCTGAGGGAGACTGCAAGCCTGGGTCTCCCAGCTTGGCCGTGTGATTCACCCTTCTTCCATGCAAGGGTGACAAGAGATCCAGTCCCGACAGAAAGGAGCCACGCCCAGAAAGCTCCCTGTCCACACAAAGCCAGTTCTGGACACCCCAGGAGAGTTTTCTCTCTAGTAGGTTTAAGCCCCGTCCCACCTTTAGCTTTCCCCCCACCCTACCACCAGGGTAGAAGTTGGGAGGAGCCCATGGTCTGGGATTGGAGGGGGACAAGGTTTAGGGGAGGTGTCGGGCCCAATATTTGAACAGAAGGAAGGACTAAGGGCAAGGGTGGAGGGTAGGGCTGAGTGAGCCCAGGCCTGACCTGGGCAGCCCATCTGTATTGCACAGCCGCTTCAAGCGGTCCACCATGGTCTGGGTGGGGCCACCACCCCCATCCCCAAAGCCAAAGAGGAAGGCACTGTGGTTGGTACGCCCCTTGTCCCGGTTTTTGGCCACAGTCTTCAGCACCTGCACAGGTGGGCTCAGGGTCAGCTTAGGACAGGACACCCAGCCCTCTCCAGCCTGCCTCCCATCCCCGACCTTGGCCACTAGGTGCCCTCTCACCTCCTCCACACTGCCCTGCATCCCATATGAGTCACCAGGCGGGAAGTGGGTCAGCACCCGGGAGCCATCCAGCCCCTCCCAGAAAAAGGTATGGTGCTGCAGGCAGGGAAACAGGTAGAAGAGAGAGGGCAGAGTCAGGGCTGAGGCACAGCTGGGCCTCCTAGACCTGCCCCTCCTGTTGTGTGACCCTGGGGGAGGCATGCCTTCTCTGGGTCGGGGTTGGGTGGCTTGTCCAGGGCCCCTCAATAAGCCTGGACGGAGATGTATGGGCTAGGTGGGACCCAGGCCCACTCTGAGCCTGGTTCCCTGGGGCCTGCTCACCGGGAAGGAGTTCACCAAGTTCCAGCTCAGTTTTTGGGTGAGGAAGTGCCCGATGCCACAGCTGCGCATGATCTGTGGGAGCTGCGCTGAGTAGCCGAATGTGTCTGGCAGCCAGAACTGCAGGGAAAGGGCCTCTGGGCACGGGAACCACGGCTCTCGGCAGCACGGCCACAGCCTCTGCCCCTCATCACTCAAGGGCAAGCTCCAGCCCCATGCGCCTGCAGGCGCAGCCGCTCCCAGCCTACCTCAGAGCACATCTTCCCAAACTCCTGCAGGAAGAAGCTCTGTCCCTGCAGGAACTGCCTCACCATGGCCTCTCCACTGGGAAGGTTCCCATCCTGGCAGTGAGGGAACAGGGAGGCAGCTGGGGTCAGCACCAGGTGGAATGCGCAGGAGCTCAGGCCAACCACCCGGACAGGAACAGCCAGGGCTCTGACACTGGGTTATAGTCAATGCCCAGGGAGTGTCCATCTCCTCACAGGCCCACCTGTCTGTCTGCCAGAGGGGAGGTTTCTGGGGCCAGGGCTGTGGACTGCACTTACCATCTCCACCCAGGTGCCCCCGACGGGCACAAATTGCCCACGGCAGGCGAACTCCTGGAGCCGGGCATGCAGGCCAGGGTAGTGGCTCTTCACCCACGCGAGCTGCTGTGCCTGTGGGGCAGACGAGGCAGGAGCTGGGCCAGGGGGACAAGAACCCCACCCAGGGCTGAGCACCTGGGGCCCAGTGGGTGGCTGAGGGTGAGTAGCCCTGCCCCTCAGGCCCCAGAAGCCCTCGGAACCTCACACTAGCGCCCATTGGGCTCCAGGTACCACCGCACAGCCGTCCCTCTGACCTGGGAGCAGGCAAAGATGAACTCAGGATTCCGCTCCATGAGCTGAACGACTGTCACCCAGCTCCGGGCACATTTCCGCACGGTCTCCTTGAAGGGCCAGAGCCAGGCTAGACGGGGAGGAGGGTGGAGGATAGGAGAGCAGCAAGGTCCCCCGCTCCTCACAGATCTCCAGCCGCACCCCTGCCCCCCAGCATCCAACCACGCCCAGCCTGGGCCTCCAGAGGGTCATCCTAGCCTTCCGTCCATCCCAGGCCCTTTCCCTGCAAAGTCCTGTGGCATCTCTCCTGAGCTGTCACTTTACATCACTCTTGCAAGGTAGGAGTAGGGACTGGGGAAAGGAGGTTGGCTGGGCCTATCGGATCAATTTTACATCAGGAAATGGAGGCCCCAGTCCCTGGAATAGCCTTACTCTGAGGTTTAGACACCCCTGAGAGGATCCTATAAGAGGTAGTGCGGGTTGGCCCTTCCCCTGCACGCACATTGAAGGACAGCCTGGAACAGAGGGCACAGCTTCCTGAGATGGACCTGCCTGGGCCAGCTGTCCTGTGTGAGGCACTACAGCCTCTTGCAACCTCTAGGCCTCAGTTCCTTCTTTACCAGCCCAGAACTCTACATCCCATGCTTTGGCACAGCAGAGAAAGCCCTTGTTCTGTGGTTCAGAAACTTTAGCTGCATCAGAATCAATACTTTGGGGAGTTTTAAAAAAATGTAATTTCCCATAAGCCTCACAGACACTGCAGACTTAACCAGGTTCAAAACTGACCTCCTGATCCTCCCCAGGAAACCTCCCCCTGGGCTTGAGTCCCCATCTCAACTACTTCCACATCACTCCTATCTGAGGACTTGGGCACTTGTCAAATTCTTCCTCGTCCTCACTCTGTTCAAAGGTCATCTCCTCTGAGAAACCTTTCTTGAATCCCCCAGACCCAGCTGGGTTAAGTGCCTCTTCTGGGCTCCCCAGCCCCCCATCCTTCCCTCCATCCTGGCAGCAACTGTGTCCGCCTATTTTGTGATCGCCAGTCTCTATAGTCCTACCCCCCCCAATATCTAGCACGGGGCCACACGGGGCATCAGATTTTGTTGAAAGAATAAATGAAGCCACACCTAGCAGAGCCTACAGCCCATTCCCCTTTCCCCAGGGAAAACTGAGGTCCAAGAGGGGCAAGAACTCGATGTGGATCACACAGTGCTTCCAGGGCACAGCCAGGTCTTCGAGGCCACTCTTGCCTCCCCGAACCAGCCCAGCCAACTGCTGCCCTACCTGTATCAATGTGGCAGTGCCCCAGGGCATGGATGGTATGCTGGCTTTCACCCCCACGTTGGCCAAAGAACTTGGAGGCCAGGGCCTGGGCCACTGGGAAGGTCTCTGGCTGGGCGGGGTCACATATGTTCACCATCTGGTTGGCTGTGTACAGGGCCTGGTAGCTGCGCTGGTTGTCCTCCCCGAGGCCCTGCAGCAGGGTTCTGTCCCTTAATCCCCATCTCAAGCAAGCAGAGTCTCCAAAATTAGACCCCAGCTGATCTCCCACGGGTTCTCAGCAGAGCTCCTCCCTACCTCCAACCCTGTGCTCCTGCTGGCCCCCCTGCTCAGCACTGTCTCCTTCCTCCCCTTTACACAGGGAAATCCTCTCAACACTCAGGCAGGCATGAAACACCCTCCCTATTCTGGATTCCCAGAGCTCCAACTATCTCACCCAAGAAACAGCCTGCCTGGAACAGGGCTCTAGAGGGTGAGCAGGTGGCGCGGGGGTGTCAAGTACCTTGGCCATCCCCAGCAGCAGCTCCAGATCCACCAGGAGCTTGTGGACATCCCGGTGGAACACGGCCAGCTCAGCCCGGCTCACCTGGAACATCTTCTCTGGGTCAGGGGCTGCGATCATGGTTCCCTTCCCGGCCCCCAGGAGCCCATTGCAGGCTACTTCCACATAGAGGGTCAGGCTACAAATGCGGGGAGGCAGCCTCAGGCCAAGGGACTGGCAGAGGACTCTGGGGCTTGGGGAGGGAGGACCAAAGAGGCATCCAGCAGACCCCTCCCTACTCACCCCCAGGATCTACCACCCAGAGGATCTCACAGTTATGTCAGGCGCGTGTGAGAGAGGGCCATGGCAGAAACAACAGACCCCACCAAATTCTGCTGAGTGTTCTGCCTTGGCTGGGGTGAATAAGTAGCCAAGTTTGGAACCATGTGAATTATGCTGTTGTTTAGACTTTTATTCCCAAAGCTGTCTTTACAATGCACTGCTTTGGTCTCAGAACCCTCTTTGCACATTAAAAACATGTTTGGATCTCCCAGGTCCAGTCTTTCAGAACAAAGATCCATCAGCCAATATGGGCAGGCCACTGTTCGGAGAGCACGGTGGGCTGTGGTGCCGTTCTACTCAGACTTCAGAGAGCAAACACGACTTCCTTCGGGCAGCCTTCCATGACTCTCCTCTTATCCCTCTCCCTAGTCTAGAACAGGTTTCTTATGTTCAAAGTTTTTTCTTTCAAAGCCCTCAGCAGTTTTGCAATTATATAAGTATATGTGAGTCCCCCTTGCTGTCAAGAATCACATCATTCACCATCACAGTCCCAGTGCCTGGAAACATCAGATACACAGTGTTCAATAAATATAATACCTAAGAAGAGTTTTTGATAGTGTCATAAAATGCATGTTATAAGACGGATTTTTAAAAAATCAGGATTCAAAATATCAAAGAAATACCACCTCAACTAGTAAAAACTACATTTGAAAGAATTCCTGAGAAGAATGCTGAGATGTTAATAATGGGCATCACTAAGTGATGGGATAATGGGAGTTATTTACTTCTTTGTGCTTTTCTGTATTTAACCCAAGAACGAAAACACTATCTTTATAGCCAGAGAAATCCTGCTTTTCAAAAATAAACTATGAGAGTTGAAGATTGTTGTATTGAAAGTGGGTGTGTTTCTCAGATGGCTCTGGGCCTCAGCTCCTCCTTGCCCACTGGTGCTCCCTCCCCTACAGCACTGGTCAACCACAGCACAGGGACTCACTCACCTCCGGGGGTCTTCTTCCCCCAGCTTGTCAGTCAGGACATAGCTGGTCTTCTCCCCCTCTTTGGTCAAACCCTGGTGGGGAGTGCAGTGAAAGAGACAGGACCTGAGGCTTGTGAACAGCTCAGATGAAGTATAAGCTGAGGGAGGCCAGGCCCCTCTACCGGGTCCCTAGCACTGGCTCCTCTCTCCCAGACAAGGCCAAGATTGACAAATCAGGGACCTCTGGTAGCAGGTGCCCCAACCCCCCTGGCAGTCAGTGCCATGACCACCAAATGGCACCTATTTGCCAGCAGAAAAGCCACTGGTCTTGTGGAGTCTTGGGGACGTATCAGGTCCTTGGCGGCTTCTGGTGGCCTCTGTACCCCTGAATAAGCATCTGAAGGGAAACTCTATGAAGTCAGGGGCAGGTTTACCTCATTCCCCACTATATCCCCAGTGCTTAGCACAGGGACCTGCCAGAGAGGGCACTCAGGAGACATCCCGCTGAGCCAGTGAAGGGAGGGAGGGAGGGGTCTGCCATCTTTCTGTACAGGAAGAACAACAGTCCTGACCTGAGACTGAGGGTTAGTCAAACTGAAATGGAAGCTGTGTGAACCTGAACAAGTGTGTTAACATCTATATATCTCAGTTTCTTAGTCTGTAAATGGCCATAAAGACCTACCACATAGGATTTTAAAGGTTAAACCTGTTAAGGTTGGATGCATAAACAAGGTACTTAATAATGGTTATATCTGGGGAACTGTGGGTGAGGTAGCAGGGAGATATCCATTATTTCAGGTGAAGAGGACTTTTTAAACTTTATACTATCCAGAACTGTTTCAAAGTCTCCCTCCCCGACTGCCATAAGCATATATTCCATATAATAAAAACCAGTTTATTTAAAACTAAAAATAAAAAGCGATATAGTCTGCAAAGTCACTAGTCTGGCACCTAGTAAAGGGTTAATAAATGGATCTGCTGTACCTATTATTGTACTTGATTAATAACTATTTTCATCCCAGAATGGGAGGGTGACCAGTCAGTGGCAGGGTTGGTTTAGTATTAATTATGTTGAGACCCTCAGCGATCCTCTCAAACATGAGAAGGAACAATTACACAGGGGCCCAAGCAACAACGTGTCCAGTCCTGAAGTCCTGATACCACCCTGCAGGCATAGCCACTCAGCTGTGGCTTCTCCAGAGACCAGGGCTGAAATGTGGCCATACCTGACCTAGGGCAGGGCTCCTCACCTGGACAGGTTCCCCATCACGCCACACCAGGCCTTCTCCATCACTTTCCCAGCGAAGGTGAACTTCCTGACCCACCCATGCCTCTGGGATGGTCAGCTCCACCCGGAACCAACAGGTCCACCATCTGCAACAGAACCACTAAGATGGGCCTAGGGGTCAAAGCCCTTTCCTTTCGACGTACTTCCTTGGACTAAGGGTCAGCAGGGGCTTGAGACTTTCACCAAGTATCTGCAGCATCACAAGATATGCAGCTTTGATCCACAAGAAAGGAGCAACGGGGTGTACAGCAAGGTGAGGGAAAGAGCCAGAGAATCAGGGGTCTGTGATTTGTCCTAGAGTGTCCTGCCTAAGGGATGGATGTCCAGGGACTGGGAGAAGGGGGGAAATGAAAATTCTCCCATTAAGTCTTGAAGGATCAGGGATCTGCTCCCAGCAGAAGGTGCTGCTCTGCCCCAAGTGACTGTCTAGGCCAGAGGGCCGACAATGGAGGTGTGGCCCTTAGAGGAGGCGAGTAAGCCGGGAGCGGGGCCCTGTCGGCCCCGCCCTCCCTCTGGAGCGTTACCCACGTGGGTCCGAAGCTGTCGCCGACCTGCGCGGGGCGGAAATCCTGCTGGACTGCCTCCTGGTAGGGAAGCCTTTCGGGCGTCAAGAAACTGGAGAGCTCGGCCACTGGGCAGCTGTCTCCGAAGAGCCTGGGCGGGAGGGGCAGGTGGGCACGCGCCAGTGGGCCAGCCGGCGGGTGGGGACTCGCATTCCCTCGATCCACCGCCGGGAGGGCTGCCTCACAGCTCAGTCTCCCCCCATCCCCTCCTCCTGGGCCCCAGCCCTTTCCGCGGCGGGCACTTTGTCCCTCGGCCCAGGTGGCCGAAGCTTGGGTTTCCCCCCGGGTGGGAAGGCTAGAGACGCGTGGATGCGGCCGGCCGGCGCCATGGACGAGGTGGCCACACCTGCCGCGGAGATTACAGTCGGTAAAGTAGAGCGGCGACACGAATTTCTCCACCCGCTCCAACGTAGTGCGCCAGTGCTTCAGGGCCGGCGCCGCCGCCATCGCCGCGCGCTCTCTCCTCTCCCCGGAAGGCCCCAAACGCTGCCGGCGCGGTCCACGGCCTGGAACCAAAGGTTCCGGCGTCCGAAGGGCGCCTTCCAGGCCCGGACAGCTTTTCTTGGAACACCGGCGGCTCTGTGAAGTCTCGCTGCTCTGAACTTCGAGCAGGGAGCTGAAAGCTAAAAGCCGCACTTCCGATGCTCTCCTCTTATCTCGTCCGAGCTGGTGGCCGTTTAGGGCAAATCCCTAAATAAAATAGGAAGTTTGACGCTTTGATTCTGCAAAAGGCCTGGGACAGAGACAAGCCGTTAGGCACGACGGGTGGGAGCCTGGGTTGCTGCCGACGCAGGTCACCTAGTCTCAGAAGCTGCAAGCGGGAACCTCCTTGCCCTCTGGTCCCAGCCCGCCCTCTGGCTATCTCGAACACCCGTGTCCGCTTAACGTGGCAAGACCCGGGGCGCCAGGACCGGTGCTTTAAAGCCAATCGGCAGACATGCGTTAAATAGAGCTTTGCACCCCAGTAACCTCAGCTTCCTCTACTACATGTTTTATTTTATGTATATGGCTAAGTGCTGCCCATCGCCAGAAACTCCGAAGATTTTGATTTGAGATTGCAGATCACAGACATAGAACTCATGATCCTAACAGAATAATGTATTTCCCTACACGGGACTGAAGAGTTCAGAGAAGCCATAATGCCAGAAACACCTCCAATTTCATCCTCACGTTTCTCTGGTAATCTCTTGGCAGCTTGTTCCCCCCTCCTGGGAATGCTATGAAGTCCTTGTCTATAAAATCATTAGGAAGAAAAGTATATACACAACATGAGCCCTGATATTTTAATGGAAATACTGACCAAGTTTACAACATTTCAAATGCAAATCATAGGGAAAGGTGATTAAGTACAGAATACCGAACGAGATTTAAAATATAACTTCCTGCTGTAAGACAGGCCGAGTTGAGCTTGGAGCTCAGATGGCAGGAGGGATATAAATGCTGTTTGTGAAACCCTGGCTGTCGGTGAAGCTCCCCCGCTCCCCCTTCTTTTGGTTGCACTGGTAGGATGGGGTTTTCTCCTCTATTGGCCCTGAAACCCTATCCTGACCTGCAAGCAGCTGCTCTGGGCGTAACCCCACGCAGAGACAGCAACAGCTGGGGCTGCCCCTGGTCAGGTCCCATCAGTTCCCCCCCACCCCACCCCACCCCGGCCGTAATTCCAATTCAACATGGTCTTAAGCAAGCAGAGGTGAGTTATTGCTGGGAAAACCTGAAGATCTTCCCCCCCAGTCAGTATCACTCCATCTCCCAAGTCAGGCATTGCCCCAGCTTCACCAGAGAATCTCCTCCCACAAGGCTCTTTTGCCACCCTACACTTTTGGGCTCTGAGTCTCCTGTAGTTGTCCCATCCCTCCACTGCTTCCCACCACACCCAACAAAAAACTCTAAAATCGGAAAAGTCTACCATGTGTTATGAAAGTCCAGAGCCAAAAAATTTGTGGTTTTGTGGTGGTGATGTTGGGAATTTTTAATTAAAAAGCAAACAAAACCACACAAATCACTGCTGGTTACTTTACAGCTACGACTAGGGTAATGGTTGCTGGAGAAAAATTCACCAGAGTACTGGGAGGGGCTCAGTTGGTCTTTGTTCAGAAAGTCCAGGCTGACCACATATAAAAATCCTAATCAGTCATGTTTAAATATCTGCCAGTTTAAATTTATGTAATTTAAAAAAATATATATGTATATATTCCATTTGCAGTTGCTAACGAAATGTATCGAATCTCCCTCCCAGCCCCATTTATACCACACACTCTGTACACACTTCTTTCAAACACTGGTTTGGTATTTAAGCTGTTCACTCCCATTTCCAATAAGGATAAGAAAAAATACAGAAAAGTACAAACTACATAGCTGCACAACTTACCCAAATATAAAATATTTCCAAACAGCTGAAATAAGGGGGGAAAACACGTACTAAAAGAATGAATAATTCTATTTAAAAAACTTAAGATATTTTGATTTGGAACACATACAACTGACTGCTAACTATTTAAAGCAAAATCCTGTTTGTACCGTAGATAAGGAACTGAAGCCAAAATCCCTGCTTCACAGTAGTTCTCTGGTGAGGACAAGGGACTTGGGTTGAGAGTTTATTCCTTAAGTAAGAACCAAGCTTTATTTATTTACAAAAAAAAAAAAAAAAAAAAAAAAGTTGGGGCAAGGGGAAGACAAGTTTTACACAAAAGTACTACAACGGTAACTCCCTTTGGTAAAAAGTGTAATAAATGTCTTGTACATCTGTTCATAGGTACTAAATCTGAAGCCACATAGAACTATGGTACACAAGAAGCTAGAGCAGTTATGCTAGCACATCAAAGCATATTTCTTTTAATAAAAAATTGACAGTATGTACATTATTTACAAAAAAAAAGAAAAACCAAGTTAAAACTGTGTGTGTGTTTGTGTGTGTGTGTGTGTGTGAGTGAGTAAAGCTGGTGGATGGCACTAGGGTAGACTAGTAAAGAAGCAGGTACAAAACAGTTCCACGGGAGCTAAAAAGGACAACTGATTTGAACTTGTTGAGGTTGAGAACCAGAGGAGAGAATAACGGGTGGGCAGCAAGGGATTCGTCAGGAATCAAATCCACAAGATGATCAATCCCAAAGCCAAACTGCAGGTCCCAGAGAAAATCTTAATGGGTTATCTAGATGTGCTCAAGTGACCAGGAAAAAAAAATCCAATACAGTTTTTTTTCCTTTTGGGGGGGAAGAGGAAAGGAGCAGTGACCATCAGAGTTACAATCCATCTAAGCATCGAGTCCTTCCCCAGTCTGTCAGTCAATGCTCGCCCATCCAATCAAGGTGTGAACAGCATCCGGTTCTCTCACTGAAGGTCAGGCCCCAGGAGGCTGCAGTCTTAGCTCTGCTGGTGTGTGCAAGCAAGCTGCATATCCCTGTGCTTGCATGGATTTCTTCCCCTCCAGGGCAGGGTAATGCCCAAAACCCCCGGGAAAAGTTCCAGCTCCGGCTTTGTAAGGTATCCACGTTCCTTATATGTAGCCCACTTGGTGCCAGGTTGCACCAGCCACACACAGATCAGGTGGCCATGTCCCAGAGAGGCCCAGTGAGGCTTGAAAGGCATCTTCCTTGTTTCTTCAGTGTGTGCGAGTACACGTGCCCCCCCCAACACACACACACCCCTCAAGTTATCTGCTCTGGCTCTGCAGTTACGGGGCTTTGAACACTGTGCCATATTTGACACGGTACTTGTTAATGCTCACAAAGTGCAGGGTCTCTGTGTCACAGGTGGTGGTGCAGGGCACCAGGCCCTCCAGCCCCTCACCCATGAGCCACTTGCTGGTCTCCGCTGCCATTTCACGGGGCACATGCTCCTTGGTCCACTTATCTACCCAGGCCTGGAACCTCTGATGTAGCCGCTTGCTTACCCGCTCATGGGACTGCAAAACAGAATGAAGAAAAAAAACCCCATGAACTAGGACTAAAAGCCTTCAAATACAAAGCCCAATTTTCTCCTCAAGTGCCAGAAGAAAGATGTGGGCTTATCAGTGCTGATACCACTGATAAGTTTAAAAAAAAAAAAAATTAGGAATCTGTTTTAAGAAAAGAATTGAAAGAGATTAAGAACCTAGAACACATAAGGAGTTGGAATTCATAAAGCTCCCAAAGAAATACCAACACAGGGTCTGGGCAGAACTAGCTCAGTGCTTCTCGATTTTAGCCTCCTGCATCATTATCACGTAGGGGGGCGGGGCAGGGGGTGGGGAGAGAACGACTTGATCAATCTGCAGTTTTAAACCAGCAACCCAGCTGATTCTAACATACCCGGAGCGAGACACTGAGTCGAGGCCGTTAGTCATTTCTGTCAGCATGGCAATCCACTTCTAAGTAAAACAAGGTAAAGGGCTTAAAACCCACTCTCCCTTCCCGCTATTACCCCACCCTGCCCAGCACAGTGCTGGGCATAGCAGATCTTCAGTGGAGGTTTTTGTTCCTACCTATACATCTGGTAAATATTTATTAGTGCCCACAGGCAAGGCAGAGAAGGGGATACAAAGATAAATTAGGTGTTGCCCAGCTCCCCAAATCATCTGAATCAGAAACATGCAGGCATACGACACACAGCACCATGAGAGAAGTACATTAAAAATCGCCCAACCTATGGTTCCCACTTGAATGTTCTGTAGTCTTTTCATCTGCCTCCCAAACCTGGTAACCCCTTCCTATTAACAGATGTTCCCCTAAACTTCCCATTTACTCAAGCAAAATGAGCAAAGAAACAAAACCAAAAAACAAAAACCACCAGGCATCATCCTTAACGTTCCCCTTTCTCTTAACCTCCCTACATCCAAACATTACCACATCCTGACAGTTATATGTCCAATCTTTTTTTTTTTTGGCTGTGCTACGCAGCATATGGGATCCTAGTTCCCCGACCAGGGATTGAACCCACGCCTCTTGCATTGGAAGCGTGGAATCTTAACCCCTGGACCACCAGGGAAGTCCCTCCAATCTAATTATAATTCCTCTACAACCCTGGTAGTCTGGGTAGACATCACATCTCATATGAATGAAAGCAGTCTTTCGAGGGGTCTCTGCCCTTCCAACTTGGTGCCCTCACTCGCTCTCATCAGTCTATGTCTTTGTCAACGATGTCTCAATGTACCTCAAACAAAATCCAAACCGCAGCCTATGAGAATAAGTAATGTAGCCTCCGCCCACCCTTCCAACTTCATGCACCCCACTCTCCCTATGGCGCAAGCCACATTGATGTTTTTAGTTTCTTGAAAATGCCAAGTCCTTTCCTCCTTCCCAGCCTTGTGCTTGCTTGTTTCCTTTGCCTAAAAAGTACCAACCCCCAACTCTGCACCAGGTTGGATCCTTGTCATTGTTCAGGCCTCAAGCGTCACCTCTTTAGAGAGGTCTTCCCCAACAAAAGCAGGGCCCTGCCTGCCAGTTACCCTTGATCACTTCACCTAGTTTCTCTCCTTGGTAGTGCACATCATCACACTACCTTATATGCTCTACCTCACGGTTGTAGTCCCAGGGCCTGGCACAATACCTTGGTACATAACTGCACTAGGACTTTCACAATTCAGGTAGCATGTGAAAACAGACAGGATTCATACAAGCAATACTACCTGAAATGTAAATGCTAGGAGTAGCTTCACTGGAAGGTGCGACCAGCTGTTATCAACTGAATCGTGTCCCCACAAATTCATATGTTGAAATCCTAGCTTCCCCCCCGCCAGAATGTGATGTTATTTGGAAATAACGTTGTTGCAGATGTAATTAGTTAAGGTGAGCTCATACTGTCTGTTGTAGGGTGGACCCATAATCCCACATGGCTGGCATTCTTTAAAAGGGGGAAATTTGGACACAGACACGCATTTAGGGAGAATGCCATGTAAAAATGAAGGCAGAAATATGCAAGCCAAGCAATGCCAGTGATTGCCAGCAAACCACCAGAGGCTAGGAAAGGCAAGGAATAGTTTTTCCCTCACAGCCCTCAGAAGGTTCAAAGCAACTCCGCCAACACTTCAACCTTGGACTTCCAACCTCTAGAACTGTAGGACAATAAATTTCTGTTGTTTAAGCCACGCAGTCTGTGGGACTTTGTTACGGCATCCTTACTCGACAATTCTCAAATCCAAGAGATTTTCACAAAGGGAGAGAAACAACCAGAAGCCTCTGGGGCAGGCCTGGTCCTGGCTGAGGAGGGAGAAGTGTGTAGAAATTCCAGTTACTGGTTCTCACCTGATGAGCCCGGAGCAAGGCGGTCCTCCGATACATGTAGTCCTCTGACTTGATCACATATACCATCTTATAGGAATTCAGCTTGAATCTACACTCCAGCTTATCCAGGCTATCCGCATTCTCCATGGTCTTCTTGCTGTTCCCTTCCTTCCCTTCCTTTTCCTGCTGTTCTCGACCACGCTGACACTTCCGGATCCGCCGCAGATTCCTACAAAGCAGCAAAGCCCTGCAGGATGAGAGCTCCTCCAGGTGCAGGTTCCCATGGCTGCCCCAAAAGTTTTTTATTTGCCTTCACAGCATGTATCACAATTTTAATTACATACATTTTTTAAATGTCCAGTGGTTTTATTGTTTAAAAAAATATTTTTTCAACTGCAGAGATACAAAGAATAAAAAGAAATTGCCAACTACCCCCTACCCCAATTCTCAAAATCCCACTTGCCTTGCCACAGGTAGCCACTGTTAGCAGTTTTCATTTAAAATCTTCTAGGTCTCTCTCAATTTTTCACTTAATGTCATGAAGATTTTTTCATTTCACTACAGATAGATTTGTGTCATTCTCTTTAACTGCTACAGAGGAATGTGTCTTAATTGAACAATTCCTTAACAGGAATTAATCAGGTCCTTCATCTGAACCACAGAGCACAGAAAATTACTTAAATGTCTATTTCTTTCAATTCTCCCACAGATGGTACATAACTAGTGCTATTCTACACATCTAGGAAAGAAGATAATTCACATCAGTGGATGCCTTGGCAGGCTTAATTCCCTCCAACACAAGCAGAGAAAGGTTGTCAGCTAGACAGTTCTACTGTTTCCTACACTTTGCTATTAAAAACATTGCTTCAGGGCTTCCCTGGTGGCGCAGTGGTTGAGAGTCCGCCTGCCGATTCAGGGGACGCGGGTTCGTGCCCTGGTCCAGGAAGATCCCACATGCCGCAGAGCGGCTGGGCCCATGAGCCACGGCCGCTGAGCCTGCGCGTCCGGAGCCTGTGCTCCGCAACGGGAGAGGCCACAACAGTGAGAGGCCCGCGTACCGCAAACAAAACAAAACAAAACAAAAAAAACATTGCTTCAGTGAATATCTTTGTATATACATTTCCATAGGACAGCAGTTCTTTGGTCCAAGGACTGTTGGGGGCCCCCACGATGCTTTTTAGGAAGTTGTAAGATCAAAACTACTGTCATAATAATACTAAAACAGTGTCTTTCTTTCTTTAAAAAAAAAACAGTATTAACATTAGCATTGGCAGTGCAAAAATAATAGTGACTATTAAAAAAAAAAACAAATTGGTGATGGCACCAATCTGTCCTTAGATATCTTTGTACTCTTTGGCCACACACTGGCAATTCAAAAAGGAAAGCTGGTCTGACTTAAGAATGTCCTTGATGAAACAATAACATTTCTTATTATTGATAAGACCCTTAGTTCACATCTTTTTAACATACTGGGTGATGAAATGGGAACTAAACATAAAGTACCTTTGTGTGCCAAAGTACAATGGGGTTCATGAAGGAAAGCACTTGAGCACTGCTTGAGCTGCACATGGTTCGCCATTTTTACCTGAAAGAATAGCTGACTAGCCGATCTGGGGTGTTTGGCAAATATTTTCTCAAAAGTGAACAAGGGAGACTGGTACTTCAAGGAAAACAACTGAGGACATTTGTTGCCAATGATAAAATTTAAGCTTTCAAGTAAAACTCGGAATTTTGGTAAACTGGTATTGGCCGGCATGAGGTGTGACAACTTCCCACTACTTAAAGATGTGACTGGGGCTTCCCTGGTGGCGCAGTGGTTGAGAGTCCGCCTGCCGATGCAGGGGACACGGGTTCGTGCCCCGGTTCGGGAAGATCCCACATGCCGCGGAGCGGCTGGGCCCGTGAGCCATGGCCGCTGAGCCTGCGCGTCCGGAGCCTGTGCTCCGCAACGGGAGAGGCCACAACAGTGAGAGGCCCGCGTACGCAAAAAAAAAAAAAAAAAAATGTGATTGAGAGGTTAACGGCAATATTAATTAATTTGGGTGTTTTTTGGGGGGGCTGGGTGGGGGGTGGGAATACTGTAAAATGAAGACGTGTCAACATTTGGTAGGTCCGCATAACTTAGTGAAAATGTTCCAAATAACCAACTGCATGAAGTTATAAAACCATGCATGAAAAAATTCAAAGTACAAGATAAACCAATGGATTTTGACATAACCACATGAAAAGTTCACCGATACTGCAACTAGCCTTTAAGAAACTACTACTTGGACAGTTCTGCTGTCATATCAAGAATATCCATAATTATCTGAAAGGATATGGAAATACTACTTTTTTCAGCTACATTTTTCAGTAAGGCCAGATTTTCTTCACGTATTTTTTTTTTTCTTCTTCACGTATTTTGACGAAACAAAATAGTGCAACAGAATGAATGTAGAAGCAGATATGAGAATCCAGCTGTTCTTCTATTAAGCCAGACATGAAACAGATTTACAAAAATGTAAAGCAATGCCACTCTTCACTAATTTGTTGTTTTGAAGTAGCTTTTCATTAAAATATTACTTATGATAACACAGAATGCATTTAGCATTGTTTTTAACGAATTCATAAACATAGTAAACGTTTTTCAGTTTTAATTTCTAATGTGGTAAATATTACTAGATATAATCCACATAAACAAAAGTTTTTTTGGTGTATTCAATCTCTAAGACTGTAAGGGGTCTTAAGGACAAAAAGACTGAGAAAGAACCTCAGCTGTAATAGCTGTAATTATTAAAAAATTATTAAAATTTTAATAAATAAAAAATTATTAAAATTATTTAATATTATTAAAAATTATTTTAAATATTATTTTAAATTTATTTTTAAATTTAAATATTATTTTAAATTATTTTAAAAATTATTTTAAATATTATTAAAAATTATTTTAAAAATTTTAATAAATAAAAAAATTATTAAAAATTAAAGTTCCAGGGTAAAGGTCCTATACATTTTAACTGCTCTGATCCTGGAATGATTGTATCAATATTTCCCCCCACAGTAAAGCAAAGCGCCTCCCCTCTTCCCCACACACTCCATAACAAAGATTACAAATCTTTTTAAGAATTTTGCCAATCTGTTGAGAAATATACAATGTTATGTTTCATAAGCATGGAGGGACTTCCCTGGTGGCGCAGTGGTTAAGAATCCGCCTGCCAATGCAGGGGACACAGGTTTGAGCCCTGGTCCGGGAAGATCCCACATGCTGCGGAGCAGCTAAGCCCGTGCGCCACAACTACTGAGTCTGTGCTCTAGAGCCCGTGAGCCACAACTACTGAGCCTGCGTGCCACAACTACTGAAGCCCACGCGCCTAGAGCCCGTGCTCCACAACAAGAGAAGCCACTGCCATGAGAAGCCCACACACCACAACGAAGAGCAGCCCCCGCTTGCCACAACTAGAGAAAGCCCGTGCGCGGCAACAAAGACCCAACGCAGCCAAAAATAAAGAAATAAAATAAATTAAAAAAAAAAAAAGCATGGAGACTAAATCTGTTTTGTTAAGAAAGGGGCCTGGCACAGAGCAGCTGCTTGAAGTCTGTTAAATGACTCAGTGAATGGAAGAAGCTGGCAGGGCCCTTCTGTTCTCACCCCTTTCCATGTTCCAATTAGGACTAAGTCTAATAATACTGGGATAATACCTTTCTGGGAATGTAAGACATGAGGTTTCAATTCGCAAAATTTGGGGAAGGAAGAAAGCCAATCTACTACAGCAAAACCTATCTTCTACTTCTGAAACTCTGTCTTCATCCTCAGACAGAGGTCCAGCATACAATTTGCCCACATATGGGGAGGAAATTTTTTTTTTTTTTTTTTCGGTACGCGGGCCTCTCACTGTTGTGGCCTCTCCCGTTGCGGAGCACAGGCTCAGCGGCCATGGCTCACAGGCCCAGTTGCTCCGCGGCATGTGGGATCTTCCTGGTCCGGGGCACGAACCCGCGTCCCCTGCATCGGCAGGCAGACTCTCAACCACTGCGCCACCAGGGAAGCCCAGGAAATTTTTTAAATTCCGTGAAGAGAGTTAACATAGCAGGCCTAAGACTGCTATCCTTTGAAAACCGTGCTTACTAGGTTGTCCCTTGGCTGGGTTCTGGCATCTTGGATTTTGGGAGAGTTTCCCCCATTCCCTGAATGACAAGAGTGCCTCACTGTACCTAAACTGTACGAAATAAATGGTTTATGCTGAAAACCTGCTTTCCTTCTGGAAGTCTGGAATTTTGGTACAAGCTAGGCAGAGGGTGCCTGCAGGAGTAGCACCCAATAAAACCCCCAGTACCAAGTCTCCAATGAGCTTCTCTGGTAGGCAGCATCTCAAACATATTGTCATAATTTGCTGCTGGAGGAATGAAGAGTGTCCTTGTGCCTCCAGTGGAAGTCACAGCCCCTTAGAAGCTTGCGCCTGGCATCCTCTGATTTTGTCACAGGCACCTCCTCCCTTTGCTGATGTAGCTTTGTATCCTTTCGCTACAGTAAACCATCACTGTGGGTATGCCTACATGCTGAGTCCTTGAGTCCTCCAAGTGAATCATCAAACCCTGGAGACTCTGACACACATTCCTGAAGGGAAGTTACTACTGACTCCTAAAACTCTTGTCTCCCTGATGCTTTGGCACGTGCTCCAGGTAAGCTCATGGTGTAAAACCATACAAACCTTGAATTAGCATCCTCAGTAGACAGAACAACAGAATAAGTGAAAACCAAGAAACTGAGAGTCATCTAACTCCTCGTTCCTGGACTGTGCATTAGTGTTATGCTGCCGATACATGAGTTGGTTCACTCACCGTGGGAGAAACACTGGTTTCCGTGCCAGGTGCTCACGAAGCTCAGGAGAGGTAGTATCAGAATTCATGTATCGCTCCACATAGTCTGACCAGCGCTAGGATTGTAAACACAAAATGGGGGTGGGGAAGAGAGCACAAAAACTGAACTCCAACCTCATCAGGCTGTCTAGCAAATTCTATGACTAAAATGTCTGAAATATTTAAATACAAGATCAAAAAAATCTCTTTCCATAATGACATGCTTGTTACTTGGTATTAAAACACAGCTTAAAAAAATCTGTGAGAATGCAAAACCTAAAGTTTCTCTGAGATACTTAACAATTACCAGAAGTCATAACTGGTTAGAAGCTGGCTCACTGACAAGTTTTATTTCCCTACAGAGGGTTTTGTTAAAGAACAAAATGTATAGTGGCAAATGTTTGAAAATCAGTATCTTTCACATCAAAATCTAAATTTCTGGCATCTCTTTTAAAAAAAATTTAAGATTTGGCAACCACGAGCCAATATTCCCATAAAACAACAGTCTCCTCCCCTCCATATGCCCTCAGCACCATACATACATGTGGCTTGCATTTCTCATTAATATTACCTGCTAGACCCAACTATGATAACCAACTCACTCTGTCTACCCCCTGGGGTTGAGAACTCCTGGCTCCATCTATCCCAATAAAAAGTAAACATGACACAAAGGGTCGAGATGATACTGGGCAGATGGCACCTCATTTGTTCTTTCTTGTGCTTTAGGAGAAAAACAAGAAAGGTGCCAACCATGAGACTTCCTCAGAGGAGAGGGCTTTCCTGAAAGCTAGATGAGACTGCCATCAATCCTAAATATCTTACCACCAGGCAGTCCTTTTCTTCAGCTGAAGATATGGCTGAAATGACCTGTACTTAAGCGTCAGGTCCTGACCCTTAAACAGGCTAACGCTGGCTAGGCTTCTAGAAGACACTCACTGGGCAGACTCTCAGAACATGACATACTCTCCCCAGTTTCTGCAGTATACTCATCCATACCTCTGCTTCTACAGGGTCATCCGAGTTCTCCTCTTCCGTGTCCAAAAGCTCGATGGTCAGCTGAACCTGGCCTTGGCTCTGAATGAACATAAGCTGCAAATAAGAAACCTGAATGTAAACAAAAGACCATCTCCAAAGCTGTAAATAGATTCTCAAGGGTTGAGAGGTGGGGAGGCAATAAAGTTATAAAAAAAATTTTGCTCCAATTGAAGAGATGAGGAAGATAACTCAAAAGCTTAGCAGGTGATAAAAAGGCAAAGGTCCAATCTTGCTACCAGCAAAATGAAATGTTAGAGCAAGAGGCACCATTTCATGTTTCTTACTTCTTGAATTAGCTAAAACAGTAATCAATATCAGAAAGAGTGCTCAAAAGTCAGAACCATAAAATGTCAATGCCATTTCACTTGATAATCCCATTTATGGGACTTGATACAAAGATGTAAACAAGCCTACAGTGTTTAAAAAGAAAAGGAAACTTCTCATACCAAAGTGAAATGGAAAACATCAAACAGAAAACAGCAATCACATTTCCACCACAATAAAGACTGCCCAAGAAATCACACATACCATGAGGTAAGGAACACAAAACATCAACATAAGAAGTGATCTGCTGCAATGGTACCAATCATATTTGAAACTGAGTTCTGCTAATACTATTTGTGTGATCTTTTTAAAAAATTCACATTTAAAAGCAGTACACTGATAGAGGCAAAACCACGTCACATTTTGCACAAAAGAAGTATCAAATGGTGATGGCACACAGATCTCCCCTTTTGGAATCCCAGGATTCTCAATGCCCTTATCCTAAGGGCTCGCTGCAGACCAGATCACTATAGGAATCACATGGTGAAGATCAGCGATTAGAAGAAAGCTTGAGAATCATTTATTTCAACATTCTTCATTTTACATAGGGAAAAACCTAAAATTCAGAAAGTTCTGATTTCTCAAGGCCACACAGCTAGTCAGTAAGCAAACAGGACCAGAAACCAGTTCTGGTTCACAGTTCTTCTGGAGAAGAAGAATTCCTATTTGCTAATAAAATTTAAAAAGTAACAAGAACATAACATACACACACACAAACATAGTTACTTCCAAAATAGATTTGAAAAAAACTGCTTCTAGGAGTTTGCTAAACCCCCCTGGATTTAGGATGAATAACCTAGAGTGTCAAGATTTGTCCCACTGCTGTAAAGAAACCACTCTTCAAAGTAATATTGAGAAGACAAGTCTCCTCTACATGCCTAAAACTGCACTCAATTTCATCCCAACAGGCTCCTCACCTGTCTGACACCTGTCTTGTTAGGTCCTTTACCATGTGTTCACCCCAACTCTCTGACCTCCGCAACCACTCTCCAAGTCCTGACTAACTTTATTATTAGATTGCCCACATCCATCACCCAACTGGTAACTGCCTCCAGTTGTAAACATGACTCTGATTCCTCCCCTCCTCCTTACTCAGTGTTACTAATCTTCCTGAAAGCTCAAATCCAGTGGAATATTTAGTCCTTAAAAATGCTTCACTGCTCGCCAACCACAACAAAATTCATACCTTTTCCTTAGTTATGGCTGTGAAGATCCTCTATCATTTGGACGCCCCCACCTCCTCTCCATGCCTCCTCTGCCAATCTCCTAGGCTTCATTCAACTAACACATAGTCACTGAATGTTTGCCATTTATTAGGCAGAGGCACACGCAGAAGAGAACATGGTTTCTTGCTTGGAGGAGCTCAATTTAGTGAAGGAAAAGGGATACAAATAGCTATATTTACATTACAACAAAATAACTACGAAGGTACTACGCTAGAAACATGCGCAATATGTTATCCCCCCTCAGTGAGATGAGAAAGATTTCACTTCACTGAAGTGACACTCAGCTGAGCACTGAAGGACAGGACATAGAGGAAGACCAATCGATTTCAGAGAAATCATGACAAAGAAAATTATATTTGAAAAAGTACATAAAAAGAACTGCAGGGCTTCCCTGGTGGCGCAGTGGTTGAGAGTCCGCCTGCCGATGCAGGGGACATGGGTTCGTGCCCTAGTCCAAGAAGATCCCACATGCTGTGGAGCGGCTGGGCCCGTGAGCCATGGCCGCTGAGCCTGTGCTCCGCAATGGGAGAGGCCACAACAGTGAGAGGCCCGCGTACTGCAAAAAAAACTACAACCCCTCTCCCCCGCAAAAGGTGAAGGATACGAGTAGGCAATACGCAGAAGAGAAAAACAGGAAACAGTAGCAAACAGGGAAATGTGAATTAAAATATTTTACTAATCATCTAATTGGCAAAAATAAGTTTGATAATACTAAGTGTTGACTAAGAATGGGGAAATAAATGCTCTTATCAAAGTGCACACTGGTATAGCCAGTCACTTTGGAGAGTGAAATGGGAATATCCATTAAAGTTTAAATTTTAAAATATGCATACCATTTAACCTAGGAATTTCATTTCTCTGCCTCTACCCTAAACAAACACTAGCACGTGCACGCAAGGATACAAATACAACAAAATGCGGTTCAATGAAGCACTATTTGAGATAGTAAAAAATGGAAATAGTTTAAAACGTTTACCCATGAGGCAATGATTTTTTTAAAAACTATGGTACAGGGAATTCCCCGGCAGTCCAGTGGTTAAGGACTTGGCGCTTTCACTGCTGGGGGCCCAGGTTCCATCCCTGGTGGGGGAACTAATATCCCACAGGCCATGTGGCATAGCCAAACAAAAAAACCCCAAAAACAAACAAATAAAAAACCCCACAAAAAACTATGGTACATTCATACTATTATGTATGACACAGCAGTTGAAAAAATGAGCTGGATCTATGTAAACCAAAATAGAGCAAATTCTAAGACATTAAGTAAAAAAAAAAAAAGCCAGATGTAAAATACGCTATCTAATCCAATCTAAATCTAATCATTAATTTCTATATAAACATCTATGTGTCAATATATGCAAATGCACAGAAAAGGGTCTGAATGGATACACAGAGAGCTAAACATGCCTGATTTTTAAAAAGCACTGTAGAATATGCATAGAAAAAAAATGAAGGGAGAGGAGGCGGGAGGTGGGGCTGGGCAGAGGATTTGAAGGGCTGCTTATTCTTAGCTTAATGCTAATACTGTGGACTTTTATGCTCTATGTAAACATCTGAAAGAAAAAGGTCACTGTGATGACACGATTTTCCTGGTTACCAAGCCTTCTGTTCCTGCTATTCCCTCTGCTATTCTGACAACTATTCTTATCTACAGGGTGAGTCTACCCATTCCTTCATAGGCCCTCACCACACAATTTAATAATACACTGTTAACTCACTGTAGATGGGGATGATAATTCTGTCCACCATGAAAGTAAACACCCACTAAACTCATAATAAACATTTATAGATTTAAAACTCTGAAAGGCTTAGGAAATCTCTTCTGTAGTGGGAAAGTCCTCGGATAGTAGAACATTAGATCTGTGACTGAACTAGAAAACTCATTTCCAGGTCTTTGATTCTAAATTAAGCCAACAGTACAGGTGATAGATCAGAAACTAAATAGCTGAAAATAGAAGTGAACAATTTGAGGGTCAGATCATTAAAGTACATGGAAATGCCCACCAAGGTCAAACTTTTATTTAGCTTAGCGCTCTCTGCTAGGCCAACTACAAACCTTATTCTGGGCCACCTAAACCTGTCCTTACATTAATACATACAGGCTTTGTTCCACTATACACGTTTATTACATAGATGCAATCATAACACACATAATTTTGTGTCCTTTATTTGTTTCAGTATTTTTATAATTTATAATTAACTTTTAAGAGCTGCAAAATATGCCATCCAGCATTCACACAATAGGCTGCCATTAACCATTCCCGTAAAGGGTTGGACACCTAGACTGTTTCCAGCTATTTGCTTTTCTAATTAGCTATTATAATGGTGGAAAACTGGAAACAACCTAAATGTCCAACTAGACAGGCATAATTTTCTATAAAATTAAATATCAAATAGTCATAAAAAGATGCTGAAGACCCAGAGGTGTTGCTAATTGAGCGAAAGAAGTTCCAGAACATTTTGCCCAGTATAATCTTTTTCAAAATATATATTAGCATAGAAAAGTTTAGAAATGTTATCAATGATTATTTCTGGGAAGAACTGTAGGTGACTAGTTTTTCTTTTCTCTGCATTTCCTATCTTTTCTACAACGACCATGGATTACACTTTTAAACAATAATATTTACGAAGCATTTAATATTAATACTCAAATGTTCAGCGAAGAAGAATACAAAATTATAAAAATCATATGGAAGAGCTAATCTTTTTAAAAGGCAAGAAACAGACTACCCACAAGAGACTTTACTTTTCCATGTTTTTTTGCATTTCTTCCAGTGAGTTCACAGGCTCTCCAAGGAGGTCTAGGAGTGGAATCACTGGGTCAAAGTACCCTGGTATGGCTTTGACTTCTGGGGAGAGAGCCCCAACAGCTCACACTGTCAGCATGGTCCCTGACTACCTGAGTACCTCTCACCTTAAAGCAATTCTCATCTGACATGAGCTGCTCAGCCTTCCGCTGATATGTTGACTCCAGGAGGCTCCTTGAGGTCTGTGTATTCAGCTGGCCTCCAGTGGCCCCATTATTGTTTTCCGCCAGGTACAGGTCAGTCACTTGTACACAGATCTCATCACTCACGATGTGCTGCAGCTGGAATCAAGCAAAGGCAAGTCATCAGGGAACCAAAAATCTAGTTCTCCCTGTCATACACTCAGCCTCCCTTTGGTGGTTCCAATCACTCAGCTCAAAAAGGTTTTTCCAGGGCCTCCCTGGTGGCGCAGTGGTTGAGAGTCCGCCTGCCGATGCAGGGGACACGGGTTCGTGCCCCGGTCCGGGAAGATCCCACATGCCGCGGAGCGGCTGGGCCCGTGAGCCATGGCCGATGAGCCTGCGCGTCCAGAGCCCGTGCTCTACAACGGGAGAGGCCACAACAGTGAGAGGCCCGCGTACCGCAAAAAAAAAAAAAAAAAAGGGTTTTCTGGTTGATCATTTTAGAACATTAATCATACAAAACCACTATCTTATTTTCTTGGAGAATAACCAAGCCAAAATCTTCAACCATATCTCTGGTCCATGAATAAAATGTTCATATATATTTAAAAGCAAAACCATAAGCAACTCAGGTTAATGTGCTGCTTATTTAAAGTTCTAAGGAACTTAAGAAAAATTTTTTTACATGAAAGAAAATTTCCATGGCTTCCTAATTTTATGGCACTTCTTTACCATTTACAATTTCCTTTCATACGTATTCTCAGTTGATCCACACAACTACCCTGGGAGGCAGGCTGGAGAAGGGTACCCTACTATATTGATATATGAGACAAATTTACATGTTAGATAAGAAAACTCATGTGTGCTAAGGTGAGGAGAGGGACTTCGGAGAACCATGAAAGCAAGATCCATGTCTACATTCACAGCCCTAGTACAAAGTCTGAAACTCAATAGGCACTGAGGAAGCTGTTACTGAATTAATCTGTCATGGGTGCTCAGCTGAAGGAGCTGAGTTAGGACTAATATTCTTTCTAACACACCCCCTATTTTTCCACATCTGATAATAAAAGTATAGTATTTAAAATTGTAGGTAAATTAACTCATTTTCAACACGGGTCAATCACGACTGACTACTGGTAACTTCTGAAACTATCTTATTAAACTATCTGATGACTACAAAGTTGAATCTTTCAGAGATTCTATTCTCATAGGTCATGACGATATATCTACTGTGAAATAAAAATTCTCTCAGATGAAACTTTACCCATTAAAATGCCAGAGAATGTGAAAAACAGATACAAGAAAGCAAAATGTTAATTGCAGTATCAATTTGTCTATTTTACTTTAAAATTCTCATAACCACTAAGCCATTCTATTTTTAGGAAGATACACTCTTTTTGAAGTGCTAGTAACTATGACAACTACTTATTTTTAACATTTAAAAAACTCTTAAGTGACAAGTATGTGTATTTGTAGATAAATGGACAAGGTGCAAGGTCAGAAGGGTGAGTGACCTGATGGTGGTAGAAAGGCCAGCAACTGGAGGTGGTTAAATTACAATTAGTCTATACAATGGCTTTTAATGTGACCATTAAAATAATGCTTATGATAACTTGATAATACGGGGGAAGGCTTAAAATACAGTGTTTAAGAGAGAAAAAAAGCAGTGCATGTCCAAAGCATGGTCTCTATCATGTAGATACTTCTTTATACCTTCCTGTAAAAGGAGACCACGTCACCGACTCCCTAATCCACACCCTCTCCTTGGATATCTGGCCCCTTCTAGTCTTTGGAAAGGGCAGCATTACAAATCCAGGGACAACTAGGCAACTCTCATCCCCACACTAGGCTGGTTAGATTCTCTCTCCTGCTAAATTGAAATGACACAATGAGTGTGTCTGGTAGACTTTTTACAGAGGAGCACCTGGATGGAAAGGTTGGTAATGCCAGGGCCAGAGGCACTGCCGTGGCAAGTGAAAGCCTCAGGTGCTGGAGAAGCCTTGAATACGTGCTGAGTGTTCATCTGAAGAGAGAAGCATGAGGATGGGGGAGATGTCCAGAAAGGAGGCATGCAGGAGAGGGAAAAAAAAAACCTCCCCAGTCTAACCCCTAGATGGTCTGGCCATATTTTGAGCCCCACACCAGATGTCTGTGAGACTGCCTATTGTATTCTTAAGACAAACCCCTCTTAAACTAGTCTAGAAAAGTAAGATAAATATATGGTTTGACCTTGAAATATATGTTCCACCTCCAGTCAGCAATGAATGCTGGGAGAACAGCGAAGGAGATAAGGAGAGTAAGAAATGTTATGCCTCCAATTCAGGAGTTAAGCTGAGGAGCATAAACGTATTTTAAAAACAATGGATTCAGATTTCTGGATAAAACCTGTCTCCATAAAAAAAGATTGGGCCTTACGTATTATTGACTCAAAATCATAACCAGGTGCTTCTAGTAAATGGACTAATTATATCTATTTAAAAAACCAACCTTGGGGGCTTCCCTGGTGGCGCAGTGGTTGAGAGTCCGCCTGCCGATGCAGGGGACACGGGTTCGTGCCCCGGCCTGGGAAGATCGCACATGCCTCAGAGCGGCTGGGCCCGTGAGCCATGGCCGCTAAGCCTGCGTGTCCGGAGCCTGTGCTCCGCAACGGGAGAGGCCACAACGGTGAGAGGCCCGCGTACAGCAAAAAAACCCCAAAAACAAACAAACAAAAAACCAACCTTGGGCTTATAAAAAAATAAATAAGCTTGTTGTATTAGATTTTTAAAGTTGTACTGGTAGTATGAAAGACTTTACTTCTAGCTGTAGCAACAGCAAACTTGTAAACAGAAACATAAGCACATGGTAACTGAAGTCTTTTATATAAACCTAGGGGACATTAACAGGCATTAGTCTCTCAAAAATTATGACCATAGCTGATTGTATACATGTAAAGATTTCTGTCCATCACCATTAAGACCCCTTAAGGGAAGGTCTAATAACCACTTCAACTTTCAGCTCTCTGCCTGACAACTTTTGTGAAGATGCCAAGATTCAGTTATGTGAAGCAACATTCCTTGACTCTGAGTAGATCCTGTGAGAGGGGTACAGAGCCATGCATCCTTCTAAATTCAAGGTAAAAGCATGAGTACTTTGCAAAGGATTCCATATTTTATCCGAGGAAAACACTGAACAAGCTTTTCTTTCCATAGTAGTGGTGTGGACTCTAGAATTAGAATTGTCTCTTTAAAAGTTTTCACTTTGGGCTTCCCTGGTGGCGCAGTGGTTGAGAGTCCGCCTGCCGATGCAGGGGACACGGGTTTGTGCCCCGGTCCGGGAAGATCCCACGAGCCGCGGAGCGGCTGCGCCCGTGAGCCATGGCCGCTCAGCCTGCGCGTCCGGAGCCTGTGCTCCGCAATGGGAGAGGCCACAACAGTGAGAGGCCCGCGTACCGCAAAAAAAAAAAAAAAAAAGTTTTCACTTTAAAGAAAGTGGTGCACTATCAACAGACTCTGATCCCTTCAAAAGTTCAGAACTAAAGGCAAAGGAATGGAAACCTATTACATGTTATTTGCTATAAAATTATTGTTGTAAAGAACAACATATTTACAAACTTCCAGGGTGCCACAAGAATAAACCAAAAAACCAACTACAAATCTAACTCAGAGGGAATCTCAGATAGTGAGGTGGACAGAGTATTATAAAAGATGTTGTATGAAACCCTTCCTGTAAAAAGAACTTCAAATGTTAAATAAGGAAAGTCCATAGAATTACCAACACCTAAAGAAGAGGAAACTGAGCTCACGCCTGGTACCCGACGTAAGAGCTGGGAGGGTAGGGCAGGGGGTCAGGACCAGTGCTGGGGGTAAAACATCACATCTCACGTAGGCTCATACTCCCAGGGCATGCTGAGCAAAGCAAAGGAGTCAACCACATGGCTGAAGTACTCCCACTCTGTTAACAGGAGAAATCCGACATCACATCACATTAGCCTCTCCCTCCCCTCTACAGAACCATGCGTTCATAAACATCATTATATGAGGAAACTGACTTTGCTTTCCCAACAGAAATCTTGCCTTTTCTCTTTCCTGAATCCATCTGTAGACTTTCTCCCTCACCAACCCTAGCCTCCGCCATGCCCTCACCTGTCTGACAATGCTCTGGATGAGTTTGTCCATGGTAAAGGCAATGTAGGCATGAATGGTAAACATCTCTCTTAGCGAATCTTCATACTGTGAAGAGTCTATGTTGCCATCCAGCAGGCTCCGCACCATATCCAGGAAAGCTGGGTAATAATCTTCTACATCAACGTCCACTGTGGGAGAGATGGGAGAGATGAGGCCTTACCCTGCTAAGAAAAGATCGGAAGAGAAGGCAGGGCAAATCCCACAGCTGGCCTAAAGAGCACTTAACAGAACAAATCTAGGTGCAGAGAGATGAGATCTGACAGGTGGCTACAACCCCCAGCACTGTCTATTAAAGGAGAGTGACTCTGCAACTTTAACAGCGGCTTCTAACACTCCGACTGACCGTGCCTGAAAAACACTTCTTTACAGTATGGCCTGGCTATGCGTGACAGGAGAGCAAAATATCCCAGGGAAGAAGTTTCGTCAAAAAGTTCTTGGTTCCCCTGCTAAGATAGGAACCTGCTCTCGCAGCCTACAAAGAGCATCCCTCACACGGGTCGCCTGTTCATACAGCTCTTTCAACGGAGCATCAAGGGCTGAAGAGAAAAGGCAGACGGAACCATACTCTAGCACTAGGAAACCTCTCGGGAACAGAAAAAGAGGAGTGCAAATTAAATCCTCTATGAATAATGAAGTGATCTGCATTTGTCAAAGTCCTTTTGTTTAAAAATGGATTGCCAATATTGTACTTCACAAATTACATTAAATGATTAGTACTTGCTGCATATGAATCACTTCAACCACCAGCTGGAATCTTATCAGTTGTTACAGAGACGTCTGGCAACTAGCAGTGTGCACAAGGAAAGGTGAAAGGACTCCGCCTTTAGTTTACTAAAATAAGACCCATTTAATAAAGCTCAAAAACAGGCAACTCTGATCTCCAGCGCTGGCAATCAAGACTGTGACACGACGGGGCTACTGGTTATGTTGTTTCTTGATCAGGGTGCTGGTTATCAGGTGTGTTTGCTTTGTAAAAATTCACTGAGCTACACAATTCGGATGTGTATACTTTTCTGTCTATGTTTTGCACTTCAACAAAAAGTTCACTGAAATGAAAACAAATTACAACAAGAACTCTTTGTCTTTGACATTTAGTTACCTCTCTGTAAAATATAGGGGAAAAAAGGCTGAGAGCACAAGCTGAGTCCATTTCCATTTATCTCAAGTGTGATGGATTCACTCAAGACAGGTTAAACAGGACAACTACTGTTTAAAAGAAGCAACAGGCTTGAGTTTCATTACAGAACATTACCCTGTTCGGATCCACAGCATAGGAACGGGCTGTGCTACTGCCATGAAAAAATGCTTTCATGTCAGAATAAAGCTATGAGTGCTATTAGCGCAAACCACATGACCCACGATCAGTGTGAGGCTTGACCTTATTACTCAAGAACAAACTGTAAGCCTCAAACCAGGTTACGTCAATGGTCAAGCCAGGATTAGGTCATCTTCTGTCTCATTTCTACCCAAGCAGATGGAATCACTATACTGAAGTCTCTCAAGCTAGTACTAATCCAGATAAAGTCTTTTAGAATTAATTCCCAGGTTCATTAGCTCTTCAACAGATAGAAGGCCAGGGCTTCAAATGGGCTTCTTATACCAGTAACAGTTTTAAAAAAAAGAAAAGAAAGGATAATTCACTCCAAAGATTGGCTATTTCCTAAAGAGCACAGAAGAAAGGCTTCACAAAAAAGCTTTTGGCTCACAGCTTAAGTACCTAACTTATGACCTGAAGAGATATCTAGAAGCAAGCAGCATAGAATTACTTAGAGGATATGGTGGCTTCCTTAATCCTCGTTTATTTTCCTTTTCCTGAGTCTTCTATCTTCATTCCTGCTCTGCCTGTTCTGCTGTCTCAAACCATCTCTTGAGTCCCCATCTCCTCTTTTGCATCTGTCTCAGGCATGAACAACTAGGAATTTATGTTCTGTCATGGAATGAAACCAACTATGATGTTTGAGTCACGTCTCTGTCCTTTCAAACACTTTGCAATAACCCAGAGATCTGCCATTTGGGAAAATGACAGTAACTGACACCCACTTCCCTGGTATCCATAGTACCAGCTATTGAGTGTCCATGATCCAAGCAGTGCACAGGGTGCTTCGCATATTTTCTCCAATTGTCCCAACAACCCCAAGAGACAAGTAGTACCTCCATTTTACAGGTAAACAGGTTCACAGAGTTTAAGTAAGGTCACACAACCAGTAAACTGCGGTGCTAGGATTTGAACCTAGCCAGCCTCTAAGGCCTGCCTGTGCTCTATGTATAAAAGAAAGCAGTCCTGAGTCTAACTAGGCCCTGAGGTCCCCAGCCCCTCACATCTTCTGTAGACTGACAATCTAAGCACTCACTAGGTTCTTTGAGACGTAGCTGGATGGCGGGGCTGTCACTCTTGTCTCGCTTTATGCCCAACACTTCCCGTTCCCACTCTCTCTCTCGGTTTTCTTCTTCAATTTGCCGTTCAGCTTGGGAACAAATCCGCAGCAGCCTCAAGCAGAGTATCTGGTGCAGTCGCATAAAGATATACCAGTTATTATTAACATAGAAGAGGTTGTATACTTCATCCATCCCTCTTAACTTCTGAGCTGCTGTGTTACTGAACAGTAGCTTGGACTTAGGGGGACTGCCCCCAACACCATTGTGCTTCTTAGCCGCCCCTGTGGCTTCATCTACATCCATCTCTTCTTCTTCCTCTTCCTCTACATCCGAGAGATCACCTCTCTGAGCAAAGAGCAGATCTGGAATAAAATGATGCATGATTTGCTTGATTTTATATTTGTCCTCCTTCTGAATGCCTGTCTGCCTCTTCACATGGTGGATAATCAGAGCAGCAGCATCTTCCAGAATCTGTTTGTCTTCGTAGGCAAGTGAGAGGTGTGGGCCAACAGGTACACCAGCATTTTCTTCCGTAGCCTGCTCTTGCCTCTAACAGGAGAGAGAGAGACAAAGTATTACACGACGTACCTACAGGAACAACAAACAGACCTATGAGACTACACCAGCAGTACTTTCTATTAACCACAGTGGCCATTATTTTCTAATCCAAAACTTCCAGAAACAAAAAGATAATGTGCGAGATGTGGTTTGATACCAAAACGATCGGTGCCTTCCAGACATTGAAGACTTATAAGAGACAATGGGACAGAACTGGGACCATCTTTTAAAATTCCGGATTAGTATTTATGGAGGATACGATATGAAGTCTAGGATTTACTTTAAAATCCTTCTGGGGTGGGAGTGTGGAAGGTGGCAGATATAACAAAATTGGCAAAATAGGTGATTAAGTTTATGTAAGAGCTCATTTTACTATTCTCTCCCCTTTTGTGTATGTTTGATAGTTTCATAATACAAAGTTTTTTCAAATTCAAGATCACACCACTTCTAGGAATTCTCAATCACACTGTATTTGTTTCTATCCATCCCCTAAGACTGTGAGCTCAAAGAAAGCAGGATTAGTTTCTTATTCATCTCTGTATCCTAGCTCCCAGTACTCTATATAATCCTGGTAAGGATGCCGAATAAACAAGGATTAGGAAGAGTCTAGGGGGAGTCCTCTGGCGGTCCAGTGGTTAGGACTACACACTCTTGGTGTGGAGGGCCCAGCTTCGAGGAACTAAAATCCCACAAGCCACACAGTGCGGCCAAAAAAAAAAAAAAAAGTCTGGGGATCAATGATAGTATTTTAAGCTGTGGGAAGTTGAGATGGGCTACATGAAGGAATATAAGGTACTGTTGGAAGGAAACAGATAGGGAGAGAAGTGGGAGAGGGGGGTAGTGGGCATGAACTGAAACCAGGATGGGAAACTAGTAAAACAGCTTAGTGAGGCTTAGACTTAAAATGGTAGAATCGGGAATAGAAGTCTATGCTATGAAGCAAGAATCAACAAGTTTTGGAGGGTCTCACATTCATATAACAAAGGTAATCTGCAGCAGTCAAAGCTATGCTGAACATACAGACAGGGGACGTCGCACAGATGTAGAGACCTCCAGCTCACCTCATCATAGATACTCTCAATCTCGTTGAGTAAGCTCTTAGACCTCAGGACCTTGGTGTCATTTTGTTTAAAGTTGATGCCTTGGTGGTCCAGAGATTTCAAGTAGTATTTCTCATTTTGCTCTCTCCACACCTTGTTAAAGCCTCTCTGAGCTTCTCGCCATTCTTCCTCTTTCATCTTCAACCTAGTGGAGTGGAAGGTGGAAAAACAAGACATGGGAAGCGAGATGAGGGAATTTTATTAAGGCAGGGAGTCATACTGGAATCCTGGCTCTGCCATATTAGCCATATAAGACTGTCTCTTTATCAGTAAAATAGGGGTAACAGCACCTAATCTCATAAGGGTTTAGAAGCAAGAAATATGTCAGGTTTATTTTATTTCGAAGGTCAAAAGATATAGCAGATCTGCCAAAACTGTTGGCAACTTTGGGATAAATTTTACTCAAACCAGTCTTGAACTCTGATACATGAGAAATTTACTCATTCAAGACTTACTTTGGGGAAGTAATTTGTCCCAAAGTCAGAAATCTTGCCAAGAATAGTTATTTCTCAAACAACATTCCACAGAATACCCTAGAAAAGGAGGTTCTCTTCCTTGGCCAGCTGAAACAAAGTGAAACAAGTTTCTTTGCTACAGGACTTCTGAGAATGTTTATTATGCTACTGTAAACGCAAAAGTCTAAGAGCAGAGAACTTGCACAGTAACGTTCCTCTGGCCAGTTTGGAAGTTCTAATGAGAACAACTGATCCTGATACTCTAGAAGAGAGGAGAGTAAAATCAAAAGCAGCACTAGAACTGAAGAATATCCTCCATCTCAAAGACAAAAGTTAAATGCTACTGGCAAGGAGAGGAACAGCTTGTGCCAGCTCTTGAGGAGAAGACTAGGGAGGAACAATAAAATCTGGGCACTTGTGCATTGTGCAGCAGGTAAGTTTTCACCAGGTGATACAGACAGAGGCCCCTATGAATCTTAGCTGGGATTCATAGTGTAGTATACAGAGTGCCATGTGCTTGGAGGAGCCTGGGGCTCAGCCCTGGCCTCCTCCTTGATACCTAGCCTTAGGTGGGTTCAACAGCCCCTCTATACCTCAGGCTGAAGTTCTGTTACGAGAAAGAAGACATTCTTGGTAAAAATGGCAAGCTAAGTCTTTTTTAATAACACATATCAATTTTACAAAGACAACGTGATTTTTCTTATTAAAAAACAAAGATGTAAACATTGGTTAGTACTGAGTGGCAGGAACATGGGTGGCTGTTTTCTTCTTTCTTCTTTTCTCTATTTTAAAATATTACCTCAAACACACAGAGCATTCCACTATGGACTTTAAAGGTTTGTTCTCTACTGCTGGCTACACAGAACCCCATCGGGAAGCTCCACTACCCCACACTCCACCTGATTTCCTACAACCAGGGTTGGGGAGAAATGGAGGTCTCATGGGATAACCAAGTCGAAAAGGAGAATCGTATTTAATGGGACACTACGTCTGTCAAGAAGCACACTGAAGCATGAAGGGCATATTCACTCAGGTACCTTTTAAGGACAATTGGGACGGCAATGGAGGGGTTCTTCCTCAGACCATCAATGATGTCAGCTGCTTTATCAGCATATATCCTTTGGAGGGCTTTTCGATGGATGACTTCTGATGTGCCCCCGAGGGTGTTGTCCAAGCGAAATTTGGCTTGTTCCTCAGCAGACAAGCGGGAAAGCTTCTTCTGTATTGCTTCCAGAACCCGGATCGTTGCCAGATTAGTCTCTAAAACTACATCAAGCTAAAGAAAAAGACAAAGTATGTTCAGGACCCCAACCAGAACAGAATAGCTGTCAGGCGTATAAGGTAGAAGAAGTCAAACTCCTTGGATTTGAACCCTGGCTCTGCCATACCATAGCCATATAAAACTCTGTGTCCTTATAGGTAAAACAGGGATAACACCACCTACTCTCATAAGGTTGTTTTCTGGATTTAACAGTACAATCCATGTAAAGGATTTAGCACGATGCCAGGCACGCAACAAACATCCAATAAATGATGGCTAAGCAGTAGTTAATACTTGTACCACCACCAGTGTGCTTTACTTAGGACTACTGGCCCCCGGCCCCCACACCAGAGGGACCTAATAGGAGGCAACCTTACAGACACTTTCCCCTGAACTTTCATGAATTACTAAGATGTTACAAACAATAACAACCACTACAACGAAATCCCAAAAAGACCATTCAAGATTACCAATCAGTCTCATGAGTAAGGTTTTTCAGGGTAACTTGAAATGTTTAAATATTTAATAGCCTTGTTCCACATCTAGTAATAATAAGAGCAGTGGCTATCATTCCTTATGGACTTCAATGTCGTATCTGTGGGTAACCATTTAAATTCTTACTGAATTTCTGGCATTTTATTTTCTGGCAAGGGCTTAGCCCTGACCTGGTTAAGGATATGACTAGCAACCTTTGAGTTAACTTTTTTCCAAGGCTTAACACAAAATTCTCCAGATGAGAAAGAGAAAATGAAATAAATGAGCAGGCTCAAGGGTCTCTGACCAAATGTCTGTGTGTTTCCTAATTTTTGTAGTTTCAGGACTATGGCAGTCATTTTGTCAAATATTTCTGGTCGTCGCCCCACTTTTCCTCAGTTATAGATAAATGATGGATTGAACTTCCTGGCTCCCTTGTGATTAGATAGGGCCATGCAACGAGTTCTAGCAAATGAGTTTTGCACAGGTGAGTCAAAGTAATGTCTATTACCTCTAGGCTAGAGCATTTAAGGGTGCAAGATCCATCTGAGCTCTTTTTCCCTCTAGTCACTGGCACTGTTCAAGATGGTGGCACTCTGTCAGCCTAGGTCCCCAAGCAATTCTGATGAGCAGAATCTCCTGCTAAACATCATGCACATGTAGTATGATGAAGAAATAAATCTATTTTTTTAAGCCACTGAGATTTGGGGGTTGTCTGTATTGCAGGAATGTTAACCTATACTGATGTATAAAGGACTCAAACTAGTCCATCCCATCCAATCCTAAGTATATGCATGTGCACACACACACATTTCTTGCGTCTTAACTCCTGTAATAACAAGTGGGAAATGAGGCTGTTGCCTCTCATTTGCAGGCATACTAGTCGAGAATAGGAATATCCTGTCAAAAACAGAGGCCAGTCTCTGCTTTCTCACACATCATCTAAACTTACTAAACATAGGTAAAAAAGAAATGCTTTCTTTAGCTTGATAAAACTTTCTATAGAAGTTAACATCTGTCACGACTGAGTTTTCTGCAAATGGTTGAAGCTCCTCATAAACGCTGGGGCAGAGATGGCCAACCGCCTGCCAGTGGCCAAGCAACATGGGGCTCTTCATTCAAAACATGCCAGAAACAGATGAAGCAAGTGTGAAGGGGGATAACTGGCAGAGAGCTAAATCAGTATGGATGAAAAAAGGAGCAAAATATCTCCCATCCATATGAATGAGCAGGGGCAGTCGGTTTTATATAATAAATACATTAAATAGGATGCACGTAATTTTACCTCTCAAGACACAGTTAACATTCCATTTTTGTTGCTATCAGTGAACTAGACACTGAGAATTGAGTCCATTTTCAGTACTCCCACTCCTGGTATTGGGGCTGTCTACCAGCTCATTTCTTCACTCCAGCTCTTCCTTTCCCAACTACTTTAAAATAAAGTCCCTAACTCAACTTTCTTTCAAATGGAGCCAAATCAATATCAGAAATATGAAAGAGGAGTTCCAATTCTCACAGTAGAGCTGGCCTGCTAACCATTTTAAGATACCTGCTAAAAATAATACACACTTTAAGATAAATAATTTAAAACAGCTGCAAGAAAGCCCACTGGGTCTTAAGATGCTGATTTTATATACCATGTAGACACAATAACCTTTAAAACGCTATTGAAAAGTCAAAGGAGTATTATTCAGCCAGCAATGGATAATTTCAGTTACAAAGGGTAAGTCACATTTGTCATAAAAATATTACTAATATATTTGACAAAGTCGTAAAACATGGTAAATACAATAAGCATTTACCACAGAAGAACGTGAGCCTCTTGCTCCTTTGTCTTAAAAAACCAACCCTCCCAGGTAGGTATTTAAGATATCCTCTTGTTCCAAATCTCCCATTTCCCCAAATTTCAAATGATAAAGGAGCTTGTACCTCAAAACGTTCATCTTCACAACGATAGATATGTTCTTCATACTGAGTTTTCTTGGAGCTAACAAAGGTGGAGTCCTCAGACCAGGAGGGGAAGGAAACCCAGGTATCATTTAAAACCTTTGGGTAAAAGAAGAGAAATTGAAACAAAAGTGTAAAAGTTTTCAGGTGATTCAGCGTTCTCAATAAAAAAGACAACGCTTTAGGGGAGGGAAGAAACAGTTAACATTACAATTTTCACCTTTAGCAAGTTTAAAAAGATAGTAAGAAAAAGGCTCTCAATAAAGGTATAACATTTTCTTTTGAAAAAAGACAGAAAAGCATTTTGATTTCCTCATTCATGTAAATTCTCCATCCCAGGTACCACTCCCTTCTGGAGGAAGCTGTGGATTCAGGGCTAATCCTTTCTCAGGGAGGTCTTACCTCTTTACAGAGAGAAGTCCGTCCTGTACACTTGGGCTGCTGGTAACTCTTTGGCAGGGCTCGATAGCTGGAGCCCAACCGTTTACAAGAGGCATAATCTATCTCCATGGCAATGCCCTCTGTGGCTCGTTCCTTTGGAAAGGTTTCCAGATGTACAGACTCCTTATAGCCCAGAAAGTTTTTAAACCAATTAAACAATTCTGGGAATTTCCTGAAGAATCAAACCAAAAATTGGTGAGCAATTAGAAGCATGATGCAGTAATCCTGAGGTGTGACTACCACTATCTGGTGTTGGCTCAGAACTCTACTACCACTGGACAAATTCCAATGACAATTATTATTTCCTGCCTAAGAAGCAGTGCTTCTGAATACTTGGCTTCTCCTTTTCTTATAGAGTGCTCTAAGGCCCAATTAAGCTGGTGATGGAAGAACTGTACCAGGCAATAACGAGCCATTTTCTAATCAGGAATATTGCTTCAATGTTCAGATAATTCTTAGGTTGTCAAAGTCAAGATTCTAGAACGCTGGAAGAGATTGGTCTCTATAAAACCTCCAACATTGGTCAGGGGATCAGGAGACCACTAGTCTTGGCCAATGCCCTCTCTGCCTATTTTTTCATCTCCAAAGTTGAACTAGAAGACTTCCTAGAGGAGTCTCTTGACACCGACATTTTATGAGTCAACTGACCCACCACAATCAAATTAATTTTGCCTATCACATACTCCCACAAACTAAGTTTTATTTCACCTCCATATCACACATCAGGGCTAAGCTCCTGACTCCACTTACCCCAGGAACGGGGAGACTAACTGCACAAGCTCCGCCCGAGAGATCACCTCCTGGTTAAAGATAACAAGACAGCGCAGGAAATTTTCATAGGCCTCTGCACTCCGCAGAGCCTTTCGGACCTTACGGAGACAGACAAAAGAAAAATAATTAAGCAAGGAATCAAGGGATCCTGGATTGCTTTTAAAAGACTGGGGAAATTTGAACTGTATTTGACAATATTAAGGAATCAATGTTGGTTTTCTTAAATGTGTTAATGCTTATGCTTGAAAAAAGGTATCATTTAAAAAGGAAACAGTAAAATACTTATGGATGAAATAATACATTATCTGAGATTTGTCCCCAAATAAGAGTATAAGAGTACACATGAAACAAGTACACCGGCTAGGAGTTGAGAACCGCTGAGGTTGGATGGCGGTGGCATGAGGAGTCATTTTACTGTTCATTTTAATTTTATATGTTTAAAGTTTTCCATAATAAAAATTCTGAAAAAGAGATCCTGGAGTAAAGAAGACATTCACCGTCTCACATGCCTGATTCTCTGGACCATATCAGAGTTACCCAAGCTTTTATTGCCTCTCCTAACAGGTATGTACAGAAAGAATCTTTGACAACACTCTTTTTGAATTCTGGTAATCTTGAATAATGACCTTTTAAAATAAGGTACTTTTTGTCCTCTGACCTGATTCTTTTCCTTTCTCCACTTATAATATTGAGAATTTTAATATCCAAAATGCTTAAAAAAATGGCATAGACAAGGTAATACTAGCCTGGCTAGATGAGCAATCTGGACTTCAATTTCATATATAGACATGTACTTAGTATTGTGGGGGGTGGAGACCCTCACACCAAGCCAAGCGGTTTATCAAAAACCCCTTCTCCAGGCTCCCATATACTTTTCATAACGACCAATCCGTAGACACTATACCGAATGTGTACCTTCAGAGCAAATGACGAATATTTACTTTTAATTTTTATTAACTTGTAAACATATACAAAAGCAGACGTAATAGTCTAACGAACCTCTTGTACTCACCCAGCCGCAATGATCAATACATAGTAAATTTTGTTTCATCTATGCCCATTTCCCCCACCACTGAATTTTAAAGCAAACTCCAGACTTTTCATCTACACACACTTCAGTATGTATCTCTAAGAAATAAGTACTTCAAAAATGACCAAAAAAAATACCACCACTCTTTTAAAAATTAACTTACTCGGTCCCCCGTCCCTCACCCTTTCCTTACCATTTGTTGGTTGTGACCTGGACTTCTACATTTGTCTCAAAAGCACCAATGCCCAGGCTGCCCTCAGAAATGGTTCAAGTCAGAGCCAGGGATGCTTAACTGTTTTGCAGCACAGCTCACACAGGCAGAGAGCAATCGGGAGGCACCAATCATGGAGATGCTAAATCATTTGCCCTTTTGCAAAAACACAGAGGTGAGGGGCTTCCCTGGTGGCGCAGTGGTTGAGAGTCCGCCTGCCGATGCAGGGGACGCGGGTTCGTGCCCCGGTCCGGGAAGATCCCACGTGCCGCGGAGCGGCTAGGCCCACGAGCCATGGCCGCTGAGCCTGCGCATCCGGAGCCTGTGCTCCACAACGGGAGAGGCCACAACAGTGAGAGGCCCGCGTACCAAAAAAAAAAAAAAAAAAAAACAACTCAGAGGTGCAAGACAGGTTAAGTCACCACCAGATCAATCCAGGCTGGTTCCTGCCAGTGAGAAGTCTGATGTTTGCCAGCTACCATGATTAAAGTAGGCTGCTAATCAAGTTGACTCCAAGGAGGAAGTCAGGCACATACCACACAACACCGTTCAGACCAGTCATCTCAACTCTGGCTGCTCATTAGAATCACCTGGGGAGCTCTGAAAACATACAGTTAGATCAGAATTCCCATGAACCCAATATGCGATACCACAAGTAAGTATCACAAGCAATCAGAAGGTTAAAAGTCATCTTAAGTCCTCAACAATTGGTGCACTGACACTCCCCACTGTACAGGTCTGGATAGCTACAGCAGGGAGTTACAGATATCTTTTTTTTTTTTTTGCTGTACGCGGGCCTCTCACTGTTGTGGCCTCTCCCGTTGCGGAGCACAGGCTCCGGACGCGCAGGCTCAGCGGCCATGGCTCACGGGCCCAGCCGCTCCACGGCATGTGGGATCTTCCCGGACCAGGGCACGAACCCGTGTCCCCTGCATCGGCAGGCGGACTCTCAACCACTGCGCCACCAGGGAAGCCCCCAGATATCTTTTGAGAGTAATATCATGCATTTCTTTTAAAGCTTTCTTCCACCATAGCAAATGCTGTATTTTGCGGCAACTACTTCGCAAAACTGAAGCAAACAATGCTACCATTTCTCCAGCTGTGCTAATAGTTCTCATAGACTGAAAGGACCTACAATTTGAAAACTATATTAAAAAGTAGAAAGTCCTAATCAGCTTGATGCCTCTAAAACAAAATCTTCTTGGGGACAGGGTGATTTTCTTTCGGCATTAGTAGCTAATTTTAAATCCAATTCACTCATTACTCACCTTATCAAAAAATAATGATTCCGTTCCTACACCATGTTTGCTGGCATCTGCCATAGAAGAATCCTTGAGGCTGAGCAGTTTGGGTTTCTTCTGCAAAAAAGGAAAAACACAAACATGTAAGATTCAAAGCATGGGTTTTATTTTCTTCTTTTTGTTTTTTTTGGCTGAGCCTCTTGGCTTTATGGGATCTTAGTTCCCCAACCAGGGACTGAACCTGGGCCCCTGGCAGTGAGACAGCAGAGTCCTAACCACTGGACCACCAGGGAATTCCCTCTCTGAATTTTATTTTCGTCTCTGTTCTAAGGTTCCATCACTGACCACCACTGATTACTAATTTGCAACAAATGAGAGAATTCAAGCCACTGACTTGCTTTACATCCTAAAAAATTTCCACTCCTCTATTTTAGATTCTCTATTTTAAATTGCCTGTCAGTTTTTTTCCCAGAGGTTCACAGATCATTCTACTTCCCAAATACTCTCTCTATAAATGGTCACAGCATTACTGTGACGTTAGAATTAATATCCTCACTTTTTTCCACGGGCCAAAAGTAACTTTATTTGGAACCTAACGCCACTGCCTTGTCTTCCTAGCTGTGGAGGCAGAAGAGGCTGTAAAAATATCTGGAATACACAGAAATCAATCTTTAACCTTTACCTTTTAATCGTTCAATTTAAAAATTCATGAAAAAAAGAAGTTTATTTTCCTAACAGGAGGAATAACCACCTTGTGAGCAATATCCACTCAGACCAACTTAAGATTGCTCTTTCAAAGCAGATGAATTGGCCATACGTAACTACCAGGCAAAAATTTTACTTTAAAAAAGCCACCTCTCAACTACCTGTGAAGAAATGCACAAATGTTTGGAGAAGCAGCACGTTTACCTTTGCCACGTTGCAGTACACTCTCTTAGGAGCCATAGCCTCTGCTTACACTGCATAAGGAGAAGGTAGATAGGGAATCCTAATCTCCCAATATAGGGTTTCCACCTGTGGGTAATCCAGTGTGGGAGGAGACTAACATTGGCCTGTATCTGCTGACCTGATTCCTGCTACTCCTGTAACACTCCTTACTAAAGTGAAGAAATATAACCTATTACTATGTTCAACTTGCTTTCAAAAGGAGAAACCATTATAAACACTGAAAAATAGTTCTTCAACAGTACTTCAAAAGTGTCAACAACACCTAACAGGTCAGTCTTTGTGGTTATTTGCTTATTTACCAGTCACTTCTTACCATAAGAAATTCCACTAGCTTTTGCTATTTTTTAACTAAATTCTGCCAACACGTCTCTTCAGTGTTATATACAGCTTTAGGATTCACTGAAGCAACATTCAATATATACACCTAGCCCGCTCCCTAGCACAGCTGCCCCACGTCAAAGAGGAAGGGAGTGGGCTCAGCTTTCTGTAGGCAGACCATCAGTGTTTACTCTAACAAGAAACATCACGTGATAGGTCACTAACAGGAGTTGAAGACTCCTGCCCTCTGCTGCAGCCCAAAGGTCCTTCCTTGGAGATTAAGATGATACAGATAAGATCTGGCAACCCAACAAAGAACCATGGACACGATAGGCCTCTAGACCAAAGAGATCCCACAAAGCATATGTGCTTTACTCACAAGAGGACCTCAGAGACTACTGGCTTGTTTAGGAAACAATTATCAAACTTAAAAATCTTCTTTCTTAGCACAAGGCAGGAAAAATTAATTAACTCTCAGAAACCCTTGGCAGGAAACAAAAAAAACAGATTCGAGCTACCAGCAAAGAAGAGGGAAAATATAAAGAAAACCGGTAAGAACTCGAAAGTACAGTAATCTGAGCAATTAGCACTATTCTAACATTCCTTCACAAGCCAGATAAAAAGCTTTGCATTGAGTTTCTGTGACAGACACCAACTAACTCCCAATACCCAGGATCCAACTGTCAACCCTTGAGCACTGTCCACTAGTATTGCTCCGGAAAGTCAAAATGAGCAGCTGCGCCCTTCTTACCTTCACTGGAGGGGTGGCTCCCGTTCCAGAGTGCCTGCGGATCTGGCAGCCATTCTGGCTGGGCCTCTGCGGCTTGTTGTTCAGTTGAGGTTTCTTCACAGTGCCTCCATGGTCATTTCTCACAGAATCGACCTTCTCAGCAGTTGTTTTGCTTAAAAGCTAATTAAGACACATGAAAGAGATGAATGCTCTTATTAAAGCAAGTAAGTTTCATTTAGAAAAAGTCTCCTGATTCCAGCTTCCTAACTTATCTAAGATAACCATTCTCAACAGTGTAGTTCTAAATAAAACTTACCACAGAGCTGTTGGCATCTGGTAGGAACTGTCCAAACTCTGATAACAGATCTTCCTGATTTTTAAAAAGACGAGCCACCTGGGCATACACCTCCTGCTCAGTCAACGCTGGAGTGTAGTTTCCTCCAGCTTCCTTGGCATTCCGCTGCTCTTTCTGATGGGAAATTGCAAATGGGAAGAGATCATATTAGAAGGCCACTGTTTTGAGTGACTCACTTTTGCACACTTTCTGAGATGTCTGGTAGGGGCTTTGTATGTTATCTATTTGGGCTGCACTTAAGAGGAAAGTCTATGTTCTCAGCACCTGTTTTGGCTTCAAACTTTGAAGTTGAGAAAGGAGTGGAAGATGGTGGCTGACAATTCCTTTTGAAAACCAGGGCAGTATATGTGAATGCTCAGGGGACCACTAACAACTGATAAAACACAAAATATTAGAGAAATTCCTCCTTATATTGTAGGTTAACTATATTACCCAAATCATTCTTTAAACTCTCCAGATAAATAAGCATTCATTTCACAGAGCAGTGACTTTAAAAATCCTGACCGGCTGCTACAAGGCAATTAAAGTCAGGTAAATCACACTGGCTTTATAAACACACATCACAGTTTCTAACTGGTTAATTTCCGGTAAGAATCAGTGGACACAATAATGGTTATTCAAGTCTTCTTGGACTAGCCGTCCCCGGAGGGCAACCTGGTTAAGACAGGTTGAAAGGGCAACTGTCTTACCTGATATGTGTGCAAAATCTCCAGGAACGCTTTGTAGATGTCTGGTTGGCCCTGGAACCTGTTCTTGATCTTATTGACATAGTTGATGGCATGGTTAAACTCCACAGGTTGATTGTTCTGCAAGGGCGGGGCTGTTCCCAACGAGATTGTCACTGGTGTATGAGGCTGGACAGGTGGAGAACGTGGGGACGCATATGGTGGGAGTGGGGGAGTCTGCTGACTGGCTGGAGTATGTGCTTGTAGTTGGGAAGGCTAAAAGGAAAAAGTCGTTATTCTCCTCAGGAACACAGATGGTTTAACATATGAAAGAAAGGTCAAAGTAAAGAGAAACAAAGTGTCTGATCAACACATATAATACTTTATTCACTCTGGCCAGGCCACTTTAGCCCAACTCAAATCACACTGGGTAGGGGTGGGAAGTGTAGAGGGTTCACACATTCTAATACAAAAGTTCCAGTCTCCAGTTTTCTAAACACAACCTTAAAAGTGGGCTATGTCTCCAACTACAAGGAAGAATTTTCATATGCAATTTTTAAGTTCACTTGCTGAACAGGTGCAAATAGAATAGGAAAAAAACCCTCATTCTACATAGATCTTTAATATCAAAAAAGACAATTCAATTGTTGCAGTTAACTTCACACACAAAAAAAGTCTTCTAAACCAGCTCTGCCCAATAGAAAACTCTGAGGTGATGGAAATGTTCCTTATTTGCACTATCCTGCACAATAGCCACTAGCCACACGAGGCTACCGAGCACTTGAAATGTAGCTGGTGCAACTGAAAAACAAAATTTATTTTAATTAATTTATATTTAAATATAGACATATGTGATTAGTGACTACTGTATCAATACATTTCTAGACTAAGAACACCCCATCATCATCGTCATCAACAAGATCTTCTGCTTAGCTTGATACGACCTAATCTGGTAAATGGAGTAACTTTTGTAAAATGATGACCGTGCGGAAAACAGTGTAATCTGATCATAAGATGACCATTTCTGCCTGTGCTATCCAAGTACTACTACACAAAGCTGCCATCTGTTGGGACGCTCATGGTTCAAAAAGCAGAAGTTGGGGGCAAAACAGTCCTTGTAGGTTGTTGATGTGTTGATTTAAACAGATACATAAATATGTGGTATGTAAACGTGAACCACTTCACAGGGATGCGACTACTGCATCTCCTCCAATGAAATTTTAACTTGGGTGATCTAAGTCTTATACTAAGGGAAAATGTCAAAGGAGGGTGCTTTCTAGGGATGGATTTCACACGGTGCAGAGTTTTCCAAGTGCTCACCTTGCTGACTTTGGCAGGTGGGGGCTGAGGAGCTGGCTGGGCAGGAGCTGGGGCTGACTGGGCTGAAGGCTGGGAAGGATGTTGGGGTGGTGGTTGAGGCTGGGGCTGGATGCCATGGGTTGGAATCTGATGAACCTGGCCAGGAGTTGTCACATTCACCATGTCATTGGTTTGCACCTCAATCTTGTAGCCAGGAGGCAAGAAGGTATTGAAGCCCATGATCAAGTCAGGGTGGCCTTTGAACAGCTGGGACACACGACTAATCACTCCTGGAGTGTCGATGCTGATGGAAAAACAAATATTAAAGTGGCAAGCTTAACAAGCACCCTAGCAAGAAAAAAATCACATTCCACTAGGTTCTCTACACAGGAAACTAAAAATCAACCTGAATATTACAAAATTAACAACACACAAAGAACTCTGAAATTCCAAAGTCATTTAGCTTCATAATCAGAGAGGTTTGGTCACAATTTAAACAGAATATACAATCACGCGTGGTAACAGTCCTATCAAGCAGATACTCAGGCAGTAAGTCTAAAACTTCAATTCCCATGGAAGATACAACCTCTGATACACCAGTATAAATCATAATGTATCTATCTACATTGTTCAGACCAGTTACTCTTTTATAATAGTGAACCATGCCACAATATTAGTGTATCTTAAATCAATCCAAAAAGCAAGTAGCCTAATCATTACCAGTTTACTTCCCTGATTGAGGTGAAGTACTATGAAAAATTTTACTTAAGAAAAATTTACCAGTATGCAGAAAACAAAGGTCTAGGGCCTGCAATTTTCATAAAGCAGTATATAAAAGCACGACCCATGAAAATAAACACATAAACCCCCCCAAAAGAGCATCCTTTATCTTTCAGCAGATAAGAATAAGCTATATCCTCCTTCCAAAATCAACATAACAAGCACAAAGCTTGAGTACAACCGTGTATATCTTTTACCTCTGAGATTTAAATTCCTTCATGATGTCAAGGAAATCATTGTAGACCTGAGGCTGACTACCAAACTGCAGCTTCACTTGGTCAAGATAGGATAGGGCATCCTCCACCTGAGGCAGGGATAAATCTCAAGGTTACAAAAAGAAAGTCAAGAATTATTTTTTAAAAAATGATTTATGCCTAAATAAAATCAGCATAGTAAATGAAATAGAAATATATAGTAAACGTACATAAAAATATTAAAAATTAGTATGTTACCAGTAATAAAACTCAAGCTTAAAATAAAAATCAACTCATAAAACCTGAAGCCTTGCTTTGGATAATTGTGCATAGCATTATTAGTGAAGAACAGTCACATTAATACATCATTCACTTATTCGTTCACTTATTCATTTCACAAATATCTACTAAGCAGCAACAACATGCCAGGCCAGGCCCAATGTGAGGTACTAAGGAGTATGACAAATAAGCCACGGTCCCTGCTCTACAGAAATCCATTTCACATCCAGTTGGGAATCATAACACAGTGGGGCAAGTGGGCAATCACCGAATGCCCAGAGAGCACATGGAAAGGGCACCCCTCCACACACTAAAAAAAAAAAAACCCTATGGGGACATAGGGAGGGATTCCCCCAGAAGTGGTGTCTAAACCAAGTCCTAAGGATGAGTACTAATTAGCAAAAGTGAAGACCCATGAAGAAAGTCAGAGGAAGCAGCATCCCAGACTGGACACCATCTGGTACATTTGGAAAACTGAAAACAGTTCAGTTTGGCTAGAGGATCTGTGGTGAAAAGGAGAAATGGTGGTACGAAGAGTGACAAGAGATAACACAGGAGAGGATGCAGGACCTAGACCCTGAAAGGTCTTGTAAATCTTGTTAAAAAGCAATTTAGGTCTTCCCTGGTGGCGCAGTGGTTAAGAATCCGCCTGCCAATGCAGAGGACACGGGTCTGAGCCCTGGTCTGGGAAGATCCCACATGCTGTGGAGCAATTAAGCCCGTGCGCCACAACTACTGAGCCTGTGCTCTAGAGCCAGCGAGCCACAACTACTGAAGCCCGCATGCCACAACTACTGAAGCCCGTGCGCCTAGAGCCCATGCTCTGCAACGAGAGAAGCCACCGCAATGAGAAGCCCACACAACGAAGAGCAGCCCCCGCTCGCCGCAACTAGAAAAAGCCCACGCGCAGCAAAGAAGACCCAGCGCAGCCAAAAATAAATAAATAGTTTTTTGAAAAGCAATTTAGACTTTTATCATCTGCACTTTAGTGTACTCAATTTGGTTACAGTGTTGAGAACGAGTTGGTGCAAGGCAGAATAGATTAAAAGGAGGTAAAACCAGTCACTGTATAAGGCTAACTCATGTGTGAACACGAGTGGCATAAATTATAGCACTGACCAAAGGAAAAGAGAGAAATGGACAGATTCAAAAGCTTTTTAGGAGATAGAAGTAACAGGGTTTGGGGACTGACTGATTGGATATGGGAGATAAGGGAGAGGGAGCATTCACTAAATTATAAATTATGTGGGCATTCACAAAGCGGAACAAGTTTGAAAGGCTAGGAAGTTATGAATGTGATTTAGGACAGCTTAAGTTTTAGTTACTCAGGAGATATCCAAGGGAACTGCCTACTAGGTGTACCTTACATACTCTGGGATTATTTTTAATTATATAAAACATCAAGTTTAGGAAAGTTTCACAAGTAAACATCTGATTTGATAAGCACTACTCTTGTGATATATTGTGAAATAGAACATTTATGTTCAAATAAGCCATTAAACAGTATTCCAAGAGTTGCCCAAACTTCCACTATGGCCATGGTTAATCAGAGCATTTCAGTGTTGCTAGAGAAAAAAGTGTATACTTGGTCAATACCCACTCATTTGATGGTTGGTCTTTTGGTAGTTTAGAAATAACTTGACAATTTTTGTTGAAATTCAATGGATTATTTAATTCATATTCGGAATTTTCCATATTGAAATGGTTCATTAATGACCAAACTGATGGAACTTAAAACTCACTAAGTTTGCAGAAGAAACAAAGACTATGGAAGATATTTAAGAATAGCATTCACAGTCACAACAGAGGAGTTATCAAAAATAAACAAATACACAAAAAATTAAAAACAAAAAAAAGCACTCTATGGTGTAACATAATTAATACACAGAGGGAAAAAGTGCTGAAACCTGAAGGAAGGAAATTATATGTGATGTGTGTGTGTTTGGAAGAAAAAGGTACAGGTCATAATGAACCACTGTTTAAATATTAGTTATAAAACAACACTACACTTAAAAAAGCCAGCACGACACCTACATTATAAATAGAAACCTGCATGTAAGAATAGTGAGGAAATCCTCTAGTTACCTGAAGTGTAGTACAACTCTTTATAAAAGCACATATACGTTCTAGGAATCACAGCTTAGAAAAAAACAACTTGGAACTAGTCATTTGAAAGCTGCAAGTTTAAGGAGGCACTTGGGGAGGCTCAGATTCTGCTGATGAATTTTCCTGGCTCACTTCAACAGGCGTTTATCAGTAAGGTCCCTAACCTCCTAAAGTCCACAATCTTGTTGGGGAGACAAACACAAACAACTCTAAACAGGACTTGCTAAATATGTGCCAAATATGTATGCTACTGGCATTCAACAAATAACGAAATCACACCAAACATGCCTCAAATTATTCAAATCTTCCTTGTCATCAATCTGCCAAAGACAAAGAAAGTACAGACAATGTTGATGCTCGAAATAACCTAAGTATTCTCACTGAACACTTCCTTATTATAGAATATAAATGATTTATTGAAGTTGATTCAAATGCTTATAAAGCATTTTAAGACTGATCCAAAAATGGCAAGCAATGTAAGAATACTGAATGAAATTACATGGAGGCGCAAGAAAGCATTTTACCTCTCGTCATTAGAAAGGAAATTCAACAAGTTATTATGCCCAGGAATCACATTCAAGAGCTTGTGACTAAAGAACAGAGCAAAAAGACCTAACTCTACCTGACTCACTCTATAACCCCAACTCTAAAGCCCTTTCATGCTTCCTTGACAGCTTCTGTAAAACATACAAAGCACACTCTATATACTTATACACAAGTGAGGAAAGAATAAAAATAGGTGTTATACCTTTGATAGGACTGACTGGAAAAGGGATATAGAAATAAATGTATTTTTTGTTAGTTTAACAGTAAGTTTATAAGCTCTTTTGCAACATTAAGGTATTAACTGCTGAATACAGTATTAATATGGAATTAAGTCACACCAAACCAACTTAAAAAATATATTTTCAGGACTTGGTGAAGTGCTAAGTCCATAGCAATAATACATTTTGGTACACGGCCATCACTCTGCAAGCAGAGAGTAAAAATGTTTTAAGGAAAACATCAATATAACTTACAAATATTTTCCCAAAGACAGAGCCCAAGGTAAAGTTACAGGCCCAAATAATTTGTACTCTCTTTAAAAACTATGCTTATGTATAATCAACTCTGAATTACTTAAGCTAATATAGACAGAGTAAATTTTTACAAAATCCCTCTATATACCTTAGCTTTGGTGTGCTTTTTATTTATGTAACATTTAATTTCCATAGGCCAATATTAAAGTTCCCGAGAACCCAAACCAATGAGGGCAGGAGTCAGGGAGAACTAGATTAAGTATCAAGGAAAAGAGAGGGCCGAAATATTTGCTACAAAAATATATACTTCAAGGATATACTGTTCATTCCTACTTACAAGCTACTTGATATAATTAGCCTGGTATGACCAAATAAAGATCCAACATCTTATCTCTTTATAGTTCTTTAATTTTATATTTCTTGCACTAGATTCTAAATTTTATACAAATGTAAAACTAGAAGAAAATGAAATCTGGAAAACTTGTTACCACAATCACACGTTTTGAAAAGTAACACTCAACAGAGAGAGAAGGTTAGCTGGGCGTACAAGCTTCACTTCTCCACAGATGCCTCATGAATTTCAAAGTGGTGAAAACCTACAGCATATACTCAGCAGATCAGATGAAAACACTGACACTTCATTCACAATAACAGCCTTTCCCAAACTTCATAAAGGTTCCCCCAAAGGAGCATGTGTTTTACTAAGGATGGACTTGATGATCCCAGCCAATTTAGCTAGTCATAAACAAGAATAAAAAGATTAAACCATAATACCGGGCCCATTAACTATACAGGACTGTAGCCAGCTATGTGTATGTTAATAAAACCTTATTCCACGCTAAGAACTAAGAGTTCAGAAGGAGGCATCCAAAAAATGGACTTTATTTCATATGAAAATAGCCCCTCAGTCCTGGAACGTTTGAATACCATGCATTCATACATTCCAAAAACATTTCTTGAATGTATTTTCTGGATCAGGCACTGGTGCTAAGACAGGAAATCTAAGTAGGTTTCAAAACAAAAACAAAGTAAAACTTCTTGTGATTCAACGCCCCCAGTCTACTGTTAAAAGTTGTTACACCACTACCAACAGACTGAAGCCAATGTTACTTGCTAAGAGAGAAATGGAAGGAGTTGAATACCACCTTGAGCCTCTGAAACTGCTGCTGCCCCTGCACTGGTGCAACTGGTGGAGCTGGATGAGCATGACTCTGGACCACCTGGCCTCCATGGGGCTGCACAGCTGTTGGGTGATGATGGCTGCTATGAACTGCTGCTATGGTGGGCCCATGACTGCCGGAGCTCTGTGGAACGGCTGAAACCTGGAATGGACAAAATACAGATAAGAAGCTTCAAGCTTTACGCATTCTTCCCCAGATGCCTCTAAAGAACATGCACACATATCTTTGCATACACAAAGATAATCAGAAACTCAAATTTCCCACAAAAGGGAACTGGTGAAATAAATTATAGCCCACCCAGATTACAACAGAATTCTGCAGTTATTAAAAATTATATAGCTCAGCACATCTCAAACTATCTGAGGTAAAGGACAAGTTTTTCTTTTTTCTTAAATTCCAATCCATCACGGACCACTACTTTTATAAAATACAATAAAAATGAATTACTAGAAAAGTGAGATAAAAAATATATAAGCCCATAATTTTCATTACTAGGTTTTACAAATATAAAATTACAATGTCCAATTGCTATAAAAGTTTCTAAACATGCTTCATTTCTGTACTTATCTCATTACAGACTAGTATGAAAGTATTCACATCAGCCATCTGTGGACCACAGTTTGAATAGCACTGATATAGATGCATATATATCATTTAACATTTAAAAATGTTCACAATCCATAAATTGAATGTACTCATGTGTTGCATATGGATTTAAACTTTTAATTTTTTAAAAAGCACATTACAAAGCAGTATATATAATACATACACTAAGGATAAATTAGGAGTTTGGAATTAATATGTACACATACTATATATAAAACAGATAACCAACAAGGACCTACAGTATGGCACAGGGAATTATACTCAGTATCTTTTAATAACCTGTAATGGAAAAGAATTTTAAAAAGAATATATATATATATATATATTCTTTTTCTGTAGCGCTTTGCTGTACACCTGAAACTAACACAACACTGTAAATCAACTATACTAGAATAAAAAAATTCTTAGTCAACACTCAGAAAAAAAATACAATTAAGATTTTAAATCCTAGACAACAAATATATAGTAAAATGTTAGCATTTTATCTTGTGGTAGTAGGATTAGAGAAGATTTTTATTTTGTTTTATTTATGCTGCTTATCCTTACCTGCTACTAATTTTTTTTTTTTTGCCGCACTGCACGGCTTTCTGGATCTTAGTACCCCTACCAGGGATTGAACCCGGGCCCTGGCAGTGAAAGTGCTGAGTCCTAACCACTGGACCACCAGGGAACTCCCTTATTTGCTACTTCTAAAATTAAAAATTTTAAATTTCTTCCAAATCGTTGGTGGTTTGGCCTCAAACATATTTCTTTTCTATTCTCTCTTGTCCTCTTATAAGTTTAAGAGTAAAATAAAAGCACAAGCCCCTTTCCTTCTATTTCTGTTGCAAGAAATGCTATATAAAATTTCCAAAGCTTTTAAAATTTTCCTATTTCAGAACTGTTAATCACTGCAGAAGACAACTAAGGACAATATACCTGAGTTGCCACATCTCCAAAACAAGGAGACCAAATAACATGACACCTTAAAACAATGTAAGCTGCAGGGCTTCCCTGGTGACGCAGTGGTTGAGAGTCCGCCTGCCGATGCAGGGGACACGGGTTCGTGCCCCGGTCCGGGAGGATCCCACGTGCCGTGGAGCGGCTGGGCCCGTGAGCCATGGCCGCTGAGCCTGCGCGTCCGGAGCCTGTGCTCCGCAACGGGAGAGGCCACAACAGTGAGAGGCCCGCGTACCACAAAAAACAAAAAAAACTAATGTAAGCTGTGTACTACAACTTAAGAGAGAATGTTTTTTTCCCAAGTCCCCACAGATTTATAAAGACTACCCTGGGCAGAGCGGAGGGTGGGAAATACAGCAACTATTTACAAATCCACAGAAACAATAAACATTAGTAGTAAAAAGAAACTATTTAGACAATTCTAAAAGCTCTAATATATCTCTCGCAAGAAGGGTTATTATTCTGAGCTTCTATATTCCAACATGCATGTGCTGGACAGGTTTTTACAAGACTTAATTGGAGTTTATAAATATTTGAGATGGCTGGTTTTATAAGAGCACATTATAGCTTCCAGTATAGGAATAAATGTAACTATCCCCAGTGTAGGAAAAAGTCCTGAACTAGTTCAGATAAAAGTAATCACCCAGGGACTTCCCTGGTGGTCCAGTGGTAAAGAATCCACCTTACAATGCAGGGGACGCAGGTTTGATCCCTGGTCAGGAAACTAAGATCCCACATGCCTCGGGGCAACTAAGCCCGTGTGCCACAACTACTGAGCTCGTGCGCCTCACCTAGAGAGAGAAAACCCACACGCTGCAACGAAGAGCCCATGTACTGCAACGAAAGATCCAGCGTACCACACGCAGCCAAAAAAATAAATAAATAAAAAATAAATAAATCTTAAAAAAAAAAAGTAATCACCCAAGGAAAACACGCCACTTTTCTTTCCTTTAAGTCCTAACCTAACGATTTGATCTGTAGCAGTCCTCCGACTGCTGCACCCAGTCCCATATGAAGGCACTATACTGCTTCAAGGGGGACTCCAAAGGAAGAGTGACACCTAAGGAATTACCATTTCCTATTTCACCTGGGTTTCCCTCTTCCTTGATTGTTTTCTTATAATAAATTCCTAGAAATGGAATTTCTAGGTAAAAAAATAACTAAAGAATCTGACACAAACTGTCAAATTGCTCTCAAGGAAGATTATGCCAATTTATGTTCCCAGTACCAGCCAAACCTTCTTATTTTTTTAATTTTTACTTTATTTTTTCTGGCCACACCACATGGCTTGCGGGATCTCAGTTCCCTGACCAGGGACTGAACCCAGGCCACAGCAGTGAAAGCCCAGAATCCTAACCACTAGGCCACCAGGGAGCTCCCGTGCCAGCCAAACCTTTTTAAAAGTCACTAATAACTTAGGTAGAAGAAGGCCTCTCCAGACTAGTTAAATAAATTATGGTTCAGACTGACCTGGAATGGAATATTATAAATGCAATGATTTGTTTAAAAGTTACTTGGATCTATACATACATTCAAGTGGAAAGTTGTCCACTATATATTAAGTGAAAAGAACAAACAGTAGAACAGTATACACTGTATGGTCCAAATCATGAGAAGAGAGAAGTGTATCTAAATAATTAGGCAGGTAAATAAACATATGCTTGTATATGCATACAAAACTTTGGATACCCGAGAAATGCACCAGTGGGATAAAGTCTGAGGGGTCAGAAGTCACATTATATCATTTTTCTTTAAATGGTGATATTTATTTTCATATAATTAAAAAGGGCAAAACACAAATTTCTTCCATTTTTACAGAACAGAGTGAACAGACAAGAGATGAATGATCAGTTGTTGATCAGGATATGCAATGATAGCAATATAGAGTGCTATGTAAATATAAATAAATTGGTACAGCTTTGGGACTTCCTGGTGGTGCAGTGGTTGGGAATCTGCCTGCCAATGCAGGGGGACACGGGTTCAATCCCTGGTCCAGGAAGATCCCACATTCCGCGGAGCAACTAAGCCCGTGCACCACAACTACTGAGCCTGCGCTCTAGAGCCCGAGAGCCACAGCTACTGAGCCCATGTGCCACAACTACTGATGCCCGCATGCTCTAGCGCCCGCGTGCCTCAACTACTGAGCCCACGTGCCACAACTACTGAAGGCTGCGCGCCTAGAGCCCATGCTCCGCAACGAGAAGCCACCACAATGAGAAGCCTGCGCACCACGACAAAGAGTAGCCCCTGATCGCCACAACTAGAGAAAGCCCGTGCGCAGCAACAAAGACCCAATGCAGCCAAAAAGAAACCCAACAACAACAAACTGGTACAGCTTTGAAAAACAATTTGACGTTACCTGCTAAGGGTGAAGATGTGCACACCCTATGACCCAGTAATCCGTCTCCTAGGCACTCAAGAAACTTCCTACCGTGCCCTCAGACCCGCTGAGTGGTCTGCAAAAACAAAGAGCTTGCACCAGGATGTAAACCAACTACTTCACACAGTTGTGCTTCACAACTAAGCACACTGTTTAATTCCACTGCCTTTTTAAATTCCCATAGCAAAACCCTCTTGATAAAAAACGTAGTGCATTGACTTACATTCTGTTGCAAGCTTGTCTTGTCACTGTGAATTGCCACTGTGAGTACCACTGCACTAGGAGAACCTAAGAACGTTCACCACAGTTCCTGTCTAACAGGAAAAGTCTGGAAACAGCCTGATAGTCCATCAACAGAAGAATGGATAAATTAATTGGATATATTAATATAATTCATAACTAAATGAGAATGACTCACTCAATTGGTCACATACTAAATATGGATAAGTCTTAGGAACCACACTGAGTGAAAAAAAAAGTGAGTCAAAGAAGAAAATATACGTTTTCATTTATATACAAGTTCAAAAATAGCCAAACTAAACAACTTTATTGTCTAGAGGTATAAACAAAATGATTTTATATAGCACAGGGAGTTCTACTCAATACTCTGTAATGGCCTAGATGGGAAAAGAATCTAAAAAAGAGTGGATATATGTATATGTATAACTGATTCACTTTGCTGTACACCTGAAACTAACACAACATTATAAATCAACTATACTCCAATCAATCAAAAATAAATAAATGATTTTAAAACACGAAATAAAGTCAAGAGAATAATAAACCCAGAGTTCAGATTAGTGGCTACCTCTAAAGGGAGGGAAAAGGAAAAGGGATCAGGGAGAGACAGTGAACTTCAAAGGTCATGACAACATTTTTTTAAAAAAAATGTGCATGGTAAATACACAAGTGTACATTGTTTACATTATCTTTTATACCTTACATATATCTCATAAATAAATTTTTTGTTGTTGTTGTTGTTTTTGCAATACGCGGGCCTCTCACTGTTGTGGCCTCTCCCGTTGCGGAGCACAGACTCTGGACGTGCAGGCTCAGCGGCCACGGCTCACGGGCCCAGCCACTCCGCGGCATGTGGGATCCTCCCGGACCGGGGCACGAACCCGTGTCCCCTGCATCGGCAGGCGGACTCTCAACCACTGCGCCACCAGGGAAGCCCCCATAAATAAGTTTTTTAATATCTGAATGTTTAATAAAAATTTTTTAATTGGGTAAAATCACCAGTGTTCCTCTTTCACCCCTAGTCCCTTGATGGGCTTCAGTTTACCTGGTAACTGGGTGTCACAGAGTACTGAATTCCTGTGGCTGACTGCATGGTCTCAGACACCGCTTCATACACAGGAGGGGCAGGGGCAAGCACCCGGTGCTGGTGAGGAAAAGTCTCTGTGCTACCAGGGATCCGACGCTGCTGGGCCGCATACACCGGTGACTCCTGGTCATCCAAACGTCGCTTCATTCTGCACTCATGCTCAGGGATGCACTACAAAACCTGCAGAAATGAAAAGCAATGACATGCAAACCAATTCGCACTCCAATACAATGTGTACAACCAGTCACCCAAACTGGTATAAGCTCAACTCCCAGAATCAATGATTATCTACTTCATCCTAGAGATAATCACTGGGTAGTTTTGTGCACGCTGGTGCACACACTCCCAACAGTGGACAGATTATTATAACTGAAAGACAAAATTTAAATAATAACATAGTTTGAATTACTCTGGTACTAGAGTTGAAAAATAACCTCCAATTTAAAAACACAAAGATACACCTTTCTTCATTCTCTAGTTTTGTCAAGTGTCATCATCCCTAACATTAATTATATTATTCACATGCTATAAAAACATTCAAGTGTTTCTTCCTAACTCCTCTCAAAAGCTAGTACTATAATTCCCGTCTACTTTTTAAAATATGAATTGTTTCAACAATTAAATGGTATCATGGTAAGAACACTAGGCCAGGAGTAAGAAGACGATGGTTCTAGACTTGGCAATTTAAGAAACTATGTACACCTCAACAAGTTCCTCGTTCCATGTGAGTTTGTTTCTCCGAAAATAAAATAAGATTGAAATAGACCATTGCTAAAGTTTCTCCTGATTCTAACATTCTTTAATCCTAAAGTGATTCCAGAATCCCTTAGTTTAATAATCCCCCTGTAGGGGAACACTTCCTTTCCTGCAGCACACAAAAAGTCTAATAAACACTATGGCCAGGAATCCAGATGGGTCTTCTCAGAGCTTTTCCAACATCGGTATCATTAATATAAGCATATCAATAAGAAAGAATGCTCCAGTCATCCGAAGACAAAATAGGGCCAAGGCCTACCAATTTTTGGTCACAAAAAAAACTTTAAAAAGACACCGCTGCTGTGGTAAGATTAAAAATACAGTAACAGATCTCCAAGCCACTCCCTCTCCACCTAAAGTAAGGCTCTTTTTAAGACTGGGGGTGGGGGGCTTTTACCTACTTTCTACATCCACCCGTACCTTTTTTCTTCATTCCCTGGGACCGTGCATGCTCTGAGGGGAAGCAGTCCTCACAAGGACTCCTCCAGGCTGCTTCACCCCTTCTCCGTCCTCACCATCATCCTCAACCTGCCTGCCACTCGAATGCTCAGCCTTGAAATAGTGTCTTGGGTTTTTCTCACACCTTACAAACCTAAGTTAGACTCTGACACAGGAGCACAACTGTTTCATTTGCAAGCCAGCTATTTTCAATGTTATCTTTCTGTAAATCGCAACCTATAAATATCCTTTCTGTTGACTATAACTTATTTATTTATTTAGCCACGCTGTGCGGCATGTGGGATCTTAGTTCCCCTACAAGGGATCGAACCCACACCCACTGCATTGGAAGCGCGAAGTCTTAATCACTGGACCACCAAGGAAGCCCCTATTGACTATAACTTTAGATCAAAGGACTAAGTCTCCCAAATTTCTATGAACACTCAATCTCAACCTACTTGAGGATAAGTCTAATAAATGGACAAGACTGAAAAGTCTTAAAGACTTTTTGGCTGCTACTTCTATGTATACCCATGATCTAGATCACAGTTTGTTTTGGGGTTCCACTGGCTTGAAACTTAGATGCTTAAACACATCTGAGATTAATCTCTGGAACCAAAAGCCAGTCAATACCTCATAAATGGAAAACCAAATTTAGATCAGAAGAGCACAGCATAGGACTATGGAAAAAAACTAAAGTACCTGTCAAGACCTGGATTCTAGTCCAAACTCTGACTCGAAGCTGTATAACTTTGGTCCTGCTTCCTTACTTGCAAAAGGATGTAATTAGACTACTCTAGTGATTGCCAAATGCTGGTCTGTGGACAAGTCTATAGGAAAATGAAGAAGGGGGGGGAGAGGGGATTGCAGTGAGTTTTTCATAGGTTAAGTATTAAAGAACTATGCTTTACTCTGAGATCATGTCCTACCTTTTAGCTATTAAAATATCATTTCTTTTATAAAGTGACTGTGATTCTATAAAGTATTTAACTTCATTTGCCTCTACAGAGTTTGCCTTCCAGACCATCTCTATGACACTATAGAGACCGCCCAGGGTCTGCACTTTCTCTGAACTGTACTTTACTTCTTTAACAATAACCACTCTTAATTCTATTCCCGAAGTGGTTCTCAAATCAATTGCTTCTTCTCTAGCCATACAGACACGCCCTCATTTCAAGACCTTATCATCCCTTACCTCAATTGTTACCAACACCCTCCAGCCTCTCTCCCATCTAGTCTACCCTCTACACTGCTTTCAAAATGGTCAGCCTCAGGACTTCCCTGGTAGTCCAGTGGGGTAAGACTCGGCGCTCCCAATGCAGGGGGCCTGGGTTTGATCCCTGGTTGGGGAACTAGATCCTGCATGCATGCCGCAACTAAGAGTCTGCATGCTGCAACTAAGGATCCTGCATGCCGCAGTGAAGATCCCGCAAGCTGCAACTAAGACCCAGCACAGCCAAAATAAATAAATAATAAATAAATATTAAAAAAAAAAAAAGTTGGTCTCAAATGCAAATCCAATCCAGCTGTAAATCCATCATCTTAAGTGATGGCTTCCCATCACTTAAGAAAACAATCCAGGAATTCCCTGGTGGTCCAGTGGTTAGGGTTCAGCACTCTCACTGCTGAGGGTCTGGGTTCAATCCCTGGTCGGGGAACTAAGATCTCACAAGCCGCGCAGCACAGCCAAAAAAACCCAAAAAACAAAATCAAACAAACAAAAAACGCCCCAAAACAAAACAACAATAACAACCTAAATTCCTTAACTTGGCCTTCAAAATTCTTCCTTACTCACTGGGGGGACAATTTAACTTACCAATTACATCCTATCATCCCCACCCTATCATCCAGGCCTGTCAAGTGTCTTCCCACTCCCCTAAACAAGCCTCAAGTCTATAAGCTTCAAGGTAGAGTCCTTTTCAACTGTCTGCATTTCCCACATTCCAGACACTCATCACAGATGCTCAAATACTGTACATGCAGAAGGGAAAGATAACATAGTTAACATAATAACAGCATATATTGAATGCCAAGCACCATTCTATACAATTTACCAATAATAATTTAATCCCTACAACAACCCTATAAACAAGGTACTACTATTCTCTATGTTATAAATGAGAAAACTGAAACACAAAGATTAAAATTGCCCAAGGTTGCACAGCTAAAAGGCAAAGGTGGGATATGAATCCACAAAATCTGTCTCCAGAGCCTGGATTCTTTTTTTTTTTTAATTGAATACAGAAGTATATCTTTTTTAAAAAATTAATTAATTTATTTATTTTGGCTCCACTGGCTCTTCATTGTGGTGTTTGGGCTCTCTAGTTTTGGCATGCAGGCTTCCCTAGTTGCAGTACGAGGGCCCTAGAGCGTACAGGCTCAGTAGCTGCAGCGCATGTGGGCTTAGTTGCGGTATGTGGGATCCTAGTTCCCCGATCAGGGATCGAACCCAGGCCCCCTGCATTGGGTGCGTGGAGTCTTAACCACTGGACCACCAGGTAAGTCCCCAGAGCCTGGATTCTTAACTACCTCACTATCCTGCCTCACACAGAAGAGGAGAAAACAAGGAGGAAAGAAGAGTTCCTTTATTTATTTAACACACACATGCATTGAGCAACTTCAGCTTTAACGTCTCACACACTTAGCTCATTCATCCTTTCTTCAGCCTCAACCCAACAGCAGGAATGCTTTGGCAGCACTCATCCATTCAGTTAGCAAATACTCAGGGAGCAGATATGAAGGTGGTAGATGATCTCAGCCCTTGCCCTAGAAAAGCTTAAAAACTAGTTGGAAAGACCATATAAAGCCTCACTAGTATTCAAAGAAATATAAAGTAAAACGATTTCCCAAAGGAACTGCCAAAAATTAAGAGAATGATGATATTCAGCGTAGGTGAGAACGCAGGGAAACACTACTGGTGTAAGTTTTAATTGTTATAGACTATTTGGTTGGCAACTTGCAGGCTTTTATTAAATTTTTAAATTAAATTGAAAATGTGCATACCCTTTAATCACCTAGCAACTCCACTTCTAGGTCTCTATACTATACATCTGCCAAATATATTTACCTCAGCAAAGTATAAAAAATTTAAATGTCTATCAATAGCTAAATAAACTTGATCCATCCATATTAGGAAAACTATGTAGCAATTAGAAAGATTAGGGTTCATCTACAAGGAAAGCTGTCCTGGACATAATAAGTGAAAAGAATAAGCTACAGAATATATACAGGGTGATCTCAACACATACACAATGTACTCTTAAGATTTGTGCATTTCATTGTATATAAATCTGCATCAAAAGGAAAAGGCTAGAAACAAGCATTGAACTCTAGATAAGGAAATGCATGCTCAGGTACTTAGACGAAAGTGTAAGGAATTCTCTGGCGGTCCAGTGGCCAGGACACCACGCTTTCACTTTCAAGGGCCTGAAAAAAAGAAAGTGTACTAATGTCTGAAATGTACTTAGAATACCATCAAGAAATCAGTTTGGATTAATAGATGGAAGAATGGATAGATGGATATATGATAAAGGAAGTACTGTAAAAATGGTAATGGTAAAATCCAGGTAGTGTGTATATATGGGTGTCAACTATAAAATTACATCAAATCTTGGGAGGATAAGCTAACAATACAAACTAGTTCACAAGTGGTACTAATGAGCACTAGAAACTTGGAAGGGAGAAGAAGTGTGTACAGTGAGAAAGAGTCTACGGAGAAGGTAAATGTTTAGTTATATCTTGAAAATTAGGGATGAATTAGGGCATGGGGGATACAGGATGAAATTAAAATATTACAGTAACTTTGGACTTACAGGCAATAAACAGCTATTTAAAATCTTTGCCAATTCATTCGCCCCACAAATAATTCCCGCGTGCCAGGCCCTGTGCTTTAGTGTTGGGGCTCCAGCACTGAATAGGACATTTCCTGATCCAAAACAACCAAGTCTTCCATATCTAACTGCTATCAGTTGATGTGCTCCTCACAA